ATATATTTCCAAATCTAAGTACATACGTACTTACATTTCGCCAAACATTTTACGTCACAATTTACCAAACTGTGAACACAGTTTGTCAAGAGTGTCAAGTGAGTGCAGCTCTCGTGAATACAATATTTACTTATTTACTTATTTTTATATACTTATTTATTTACAATATTTACTTATGTATTTATTAGTTGTTCCTAGATCTGACATATAAAGAACAAAAAAAAAGGAAAAATAGAATAAACAAAACTTATTAAAACTGCCAGAAAGTCAAAAAATCAATAAAAAATAAATGAAGAATAAAGTTATTAAGTTGATTTTAAAACGTACCGTACGGTTTTAGGATATCCACTACCCCATATCATCCCGTGGGAGTCGTAAGAGGCTACAGGGGAAACTGAAACAGGAGATGGGCAGCAGCGTCTTCCTAATAACGACTGAAAATAAGGCAATCTATGGGGAGGCCTAAGTTCAAAAGTGGATTTTAATAGGCTGTAACGGTAAAACATAATACCATATTCAATACCGTATCCATCTGTGCACAGATGTCTTTTTGCCTCCGTGGGACTTGCGCACAGTCGTAGCAGCGCCCAATTCGTGAATAGTATTAATTATTCAGCTGTAACGGATAGCAAGCAATTTTGGCCAGCCCTAGCTTCAACTAACGATTTGTATGGACATTCCTTTGATTATTAATATGAATTACACATAATAATCAGAAATCAGGAAATCATGTGGCTCAGGAATGTTTTTTGTGGTATTACTTGGGGAAGGCCTATGTTCAGCAGTGGACTTATGGATATACATTTTAATTGCTGCACTGCGGGCTCGGCTAGATTCCCAAACAAATATTTATATTGAGTTACTAATACTTTGACGGCTCCGTGGTGCAGCGGCTAAGTAATGAATTACGACACTGAGCGCCGTCGGTTCGAATAGCGCACGGAACAAATACTTGTTTAGTCTACAAATAATTGTTACGTGTCTGGAAGATTGTCCTTTTGAAATGTATGTATTTAAACTACCTACACAATACAATTCTTTTAAGAATATTGTTCCCATTCTACATAGATGTTCATATATAGTTTATGTATGTTAACGAACATTAACGTAGCGAACACAACACCATACATTAGAAATCCCTAGTTTGAGGACAATATTAAGAGAACATCGATGTATTGTTAATATATAACATTAATATTATTAGCGTGACTAAAATACTCGTTAACTACAAGCTTTTGCTCGCCTACCTAGCCTTTGTACGCGATTGACAACGGACTCGATAGTACACGAGAGACGAAATCTATATCGTAATGATTCATAATAATAACTGAGACTACCGTAACCTACAAGGCATACTTACGAATTTGACAATATACTACTCATAATGATATCTTATATTTACGCGAAGACTACACATTAAATGAAACTAATTTTTACGGATTTTATTTGTAGTCATGGGGGGGACTGACGTGACTGACGTCCCGATGTCAGAGTTAACCGGGTTAACTCCTGTCTCCTGCATCTTGTAGAGGAATATTGCAGTTGACTTAAGCTTGATTGTGAATGTGGTCTCTCATATTTAGGGCAAACAAAGCGACCTATCAAAACCCGCGTAAAAGAACACATAGGTGACGTGAAACACCAACGTTCCGCGAAGTCTGCAATTTGTGATCATATTCTAAAAAATTAAATTAAACGCGATAAAATCAAAAAAAAAATAGTATCATTCAAAATGTACTACTCTTTAACTTTAATATATCCTGAGAAGGACTACAGCATTATAGATATAGCTTACAGCTAAGCTGAGAAAGGTTATGAGATAACTAAAATATAAATTCAAATTAATTTTATTGTTTGCCGAAATAGAGGTAAATAGTTCTCAATAATTTTAACAAAAGTACAGCAGTTTGCTACCTTTTGGCGTACAAACTATTACTGGAAAAGAGGCATTCTATTTCAGTCCTCACGGCTGACAACGCATCTGCATTTTAATTCGCAAACGAAGATAGATGTAGATATCTATGGGTGACAGCAACCACTTACCATCAAGTGGACTGTGTGCTCATTTGTCACCCTTTATCTATAAAAAAATATTTTCTGCTATTTCCAGAAAATCCTTCCTATGGGCAAATCTATGAGAGACTTATGTTCAACAGTGGGCTTTTCAGAAGCTGCAATGATAATTATGAATATTGATGATTAAGCAAAATAATTATTTTAGCCGCTAGATCTACGCTGCTAATCTATATCTATACATACAAATAAATAAAATTGAAGTGTCTTTTTATGACATCAAAATAACAGCTTTTTACTAAATGCATATGAAACTATATACGGTACCTATTTCAAAAACACAATTTTTAAAATTTTTGTCTGCTGTCTGTTTGTTCCGGCTAATCTCCGAAGTCGCTGGACCGATTTCGACGGGACTTTCACTAGCAGATAGTTGATGTAATATGGAGTAGCTTAGGCTACTTATATTTTAGCAAAGAATTAGGGTTCCGCGCAACATAATTAAAACACTAAATTACACGCGGGCGAAGTCGCAGGGAACAGATTAAATAAAGTAGTGACAAAAAAATCTGGTCCTCCAAACACCGTTCAAGAACCTAAATGCATGTCCACATTATTCTTTCTCTACCAATTGCCCCGGCTGGCGCTCATTGCACTTTAATAACCGGCACGTCCAATACGATCGCGTGCGAAACGATCATAATTCCTTTAGGTGGAAATCTCTATGAATTTTCATCGAATTTACGAGAGTTTAAAGCTGGCTATAGATGGTTTCATTTCACAATAATAAACCACAGTGACAAGATTAAACACATTTTGTGCACGACATTTTTACGTGGTAGAGCCATGCTGTAGCTATATTAGTAGTATACTCGTAGTTGTAGCACGAATGGGTCGGCTTGACCGGGGAAGAACCACGCTCTCACAGAATACCAGCGTAAATAGCAGCTTAATGCTGCTGTGTTTCGTATGGTAAGTGTAGAGAACCGGAGACCCTTTTTACTGGAAATGAGGCATTCTATTTTAGTCCTCACGGGTGACAACGCATTTTCATTTTGATTGGCGGTGCCAAGTTGCCTGTCGGTATATCGAAGTGCTGAAGTGTTTGTACAGTAGGGCTACGAAGGCTATCCGAGTACTGAACTAGTATACGAAACCTATTCAACTGCAGAGAGGTGTAAGACAGGGTGACGTTATAGTCCCGAAACTCTTCACCGCTGCATTGGAAGACGTTTGCAAGCTACTGAACTGGAAAGGATACGGTATTAACATCATTGGTGAGTACATCACTCACCTTCGATTTGTCGACGATATAGTCCTTATGGCAGAATCGCTGGAGGACCTAAGCACTATGCTCAATGACCTCAATAGTGTCTCCCAACGGATAGGTGTTAAGATGAACATGGACAAAACAAAAATCATGTTTAACGTCTATGTCACACCTATGCTGGTAGTTGTTGGGAGCACTAAGCTCGAAGTTGTTGACGAGTATGTTTACCTGGGACATATAGTCCGAATAGGTAAGTCCAACTTCGATCGAGAGGTCAATCGACGGATTCAACTCGGTTGGGCAGCGTTCGGGAAACTACAACACATCTTCTCGTTAGACATACCTCAAAACTTGAAAACGAAATTGTACAACCAGTGCGTGTTGCCAGTGATGACTTACGGATCTGAGACGTGGTCCTTCACTGCTGGCTGTATGAGGAAGCTCAAGGTCGCTCAGCGAACTATGGAGAGGGCTATGCTCGGGGTTTCTCTGCGTGATAAAATTAGAAATGAGGATATCCGCAGTAGAGCCAGAGTAACCGACATAGTCCAACGGATTAGTAAGCTGAAGCGGCAATGGGCCGGCCATATAGCTCGCAGAACCGACAACTGTGTTTCTCAAGTGGCAGCCTCGTTCCGACAGGTGAAGTGTAGGGCGTCCCTCCACTAGATGGAATGACGACCTGGCAAGATATTAAGGAAGTCGATGGATGCAGGTGGCTCAGGACCGTGCTTTGTGGCATTTCTTGGGGGAGGCCTATGTTCAGCAGTGGACTTGTGAAGGGCTGTAATGATGATGATGATGATGATATTAGTATATATATGTTGCGTAGTTAATTATAATTTTTATTTTGTTTTTATTCTATACTGCTACGTCACCTACATCAGATTCTCACCACTCCATGGGTTGACTAGTAGAGAATGCCTCAAGGCATTAAGTCCGCACTTTGTATGCTTGAATACAATAAAGAATAAATAAATAAATATTTTATAATAATTAGATTAGAAACGAATAAACCAAACTACATATATACCGAAAAGTAGAAAAATTAAAAAAAGTAAAGAGCAAACCACTGAGGCATTGCTTAGTGTATTAGTATAATATTCTAGAAACTGATAAACATTTATTTAAAACTAACTTCTCAATTAAATGACAATGCGTAACATAAAACTTCACCTCAGTCCCATCTAGCGACATCTGATGAGCGCAAGATTATTAGCTTGTCGAAGATATCGCATAACAAAAAAAAATATTGACATTGACAATTGACAACCTCCTTCCTTTTATGAAGTCGGCTAAATAGTTTTAGTGCCAAATAGTCTTTACTTTCTTGTATCTTTCCTCTGTCTAGATGACATTTTCCATATATATATATATATATATATATAACCAGTTCCTAATTTCAGCTTTTCAGTTTCACGTACACAGGGGTACAATTTTCAAAATGGCATCTAAAATTAAATGAAACTAATTTTACGGATTTTAATTTACGCGTTCAATTTTAACTTTTTTAATTCCCGTATTTTCGGGTGATTTACAGCACCCATGGTCACGGCGGGACAATGTTTGACGTCCCGATGTCATAGTTAAACGTCGGGAGTTAAAAAGTTTACATTAAAGGCGGTAAAATCCGTAAAATTTGTTGCATTTAATGTGTAGTATTCGCGTAAATATAAGAAATCAGTGGCGCCTAAAATTTTCCTTGTTACACTTCTAGGGACCTCAGCAGGAATGAATTGACGGCGATCAGTCGCCGCACCTTCAGGGGACTGACGGCACTGAAGAGTCTCCACCTGGACGGCAACCACCTCAAGTGCATCGATGATAAGGCGCTGGAGCATTTGAAGGGCTTGGAAGTTCTGTAAGTGATATTTATATCTGGATTTATCCGTTACCGTTACCGCTACGTCCTATTTGCCATAGTTGTAATGTTACTGCTAATTTGAAAATTTCACCTCTCAGTGCGTCATGTGCTCCTGGTAGATTATCTTCTATACATCCATCCATTACAGCCTATTAAAGTCCACTGCTGAACACACGCCTCCCCCATATATTGCCTCATAGGAAGGATATTTGCCGTAGTTGTAATGTTACTGTTGATAAGAAAACACCTCTCCGTGGGTCATGTGCTCCTGGTAGATTATCTTCTATACATCAATCCATTACAGCCTATTAAAGTCCACTGCTGAACACAGGCCTCCCCCATAGATTACTTCATAGGGGGGGGGGGGGGGATATTTTGCCATAGTTGTAATGTTACTGTTGATTAGAAAATTTCACCTCTCAGTGGATCATGTGCTCCTGGTAGATTATCTGCTATACATCCATCCATTACAGTCTATTAAAGTCCACTGCTGAACATAGGCCTCCCCCATAGATTGCTTCATAGGGGGAATATTTGCCATGGTTGTCAAGCTTGGTAAGTGGGTTGGTAACCGCAGGTTTTATTTTTATTTTATTCGTTATAAGGAAGTCGCTGCTGCCCATCTCCTAATTTGTTTTCCTCTGTCGCCTCTTACGACACCCACGGGATGATATGGGGTAGTGGATATTCTTACACCGCCACTACACTGTATCTATATCATGGTACACGGTACACGGTATCGGATGTATATTTATTTATTTTCTTTTTTATAGGAGAGGGGGCAAACGAGCATGCGGCTCACCTGATGGTAAGTGACTACCGCCGCCCATGAACAACTGCAACACCAGTGAGGGAATTGCAGATGCGTTGCCGGCCTTTTAAAATGGAGTGCGCTCTTTTCTTGAAGGTCCCTAAGTCGTATCGGTCCGGAAAAATCGCTGATGGTAATCGATTCCACCAGGAAGTCATGCGAGGAAGAAAACATCTTCTAAATCGCACAGTGGTGGACCGCCAATCATCCAGATGGTGTGGATGGTATCGGGAGTTCTGCCGCGATGTGCGTTCGTGAAATTTGGCGGTTGGGATTAATCCGAACAATTCCTCAGAGCACTCCCCATGGTAAATGCGAAAGAAAATGCAAAGGGATGCAACATCTCTTCGCAGTGCCAATGAATCGAGCCGATCGGAAAGGGCTCGGTCGTCGACGATTCGAGCCGCTCTGCGCTGGATGCGGTCAAGTGGAAGGAGCTGGCACTGGGGAGCCCCTGCCCAGAGATGGAAACAGTATTCCATGTGAGGCCGAACCAGCGCCTTGTAAAGTTGTAGGCGATGTGCCGGCATGAAATACTGTCCCGCTCTGCTGAGCACGCCAAGCTTTTTAGAGGCCAATTTGGCCTTGTCTTCCAAGTGACCACGAAACTGCACGTCACTCGATATGTCGACTCCGAGGATACCGATACTGGCTGAGGCAAGAAGGCGAGTGCCTTGAAACTGAGGAGATACGACAAAGGGGTTCTTTTTAGCGGTTAACGCGCAACCTTGTGTCTTCTGAGAATTAAGATAGATTTAGTCGCCCCCAATCCGAGACTTTGTTTAGCAAAGACTCGACTTCAGTCACAAGTTTGTTCCGGTACTCGGCGACGTTTTCCCGAGAAATATTGGCACGGCCGGTGTATAGAGCATCACCAGTGCTGTCATCCGCATAGCAATGAATATTACCAGTTAGCAACATATCATTGATATGCAGAAGAAACAGCGTTGGTGATAGCACAGAGCCTTGTGGAACACATGCGTTAATAGGCTTGTAGTCAGAACATGCACCGTCTACAACGACCTTGATGCTCCGATCTGCAAGGAAGCTGGTGATCCAATTGCACAATTTCTCGGGAAGCCCATAGGAAGGGAGCTTCGAAAGAAGCGCTTTGTGCCAAACCCGATCGAAGGCCTTCGCAATGTCCAGACTAACGGCCAACGCCTCCCCCTTGGACTCTACTGCCTCCGCCCATCTATGGGTCAGGTAGACCAGAAGATCACCAGCTGATCGACCCCGACGAAAACCGTATTGGCGGTCACTAATCAGCTGGTGATCCTCAATGTACCGCATGAGCTGGTAGTTAATAATGGATTCCATTATTTTGGAGAACAAGGAGGTGATCGCGATAGGCCTATAGTTGGACGGGTCTGAGCGAATAATATAATAATTTATTCTTACATATAAATAAAATTGAAGTGTCTGTTTGTAATATTAAAACAACTGATTTCCATTACGCTTAGGAGGTTATTTGCATGCTATTAAGACATAAACAACGATTATTAAAACGTTAATATGTTTGTCTGTCTGTCCAAGATAATATTCGGAATGGCTGATTTGATTCTGATGAAACTTTACGAACCGATAGAACATTTATTTCATACGTGGTAGCGCCATGCTGCAGCTATATTAGTAGTATAGTTGTAGCACAAATGGGTCGGCTCGCGTGGAAGGACCACGCTAATTAAATAGCAGCTTAACGCTGCTGTGTTTCGTGTGGTAAGTGTAGAGAACCGGATACCCTTTTTACTGGAAAAGAGGCATTCCCTCTTAGTCCTCACGGGTGACAACGCATCTGCGTTTAGATTCGTAAATCGAGGATAGATGTAGATGTCTATGGGCCACAGCAACCACTTACCATCTGGTGGACTGTGTGCTCGTTTGTCGTGTTATCTTACAAAAAAAAATAGAGAGTAATTCTAAGGCGGATCATGACTATATTTTATCAAAAAAAAACTTTTTTTTAATTCGAAAAATTGATAAATTACTAAGGTATTACTTTTGACTTCTTAAATATAAATCCGAGAGAGAGAAAGAGAGGGAGAGATCAGGCGCAGGACCTACATGCCGTGAAACACCGCCAACTTTCTGACTAATAATTTTTCGACAAAAAACCCCAATTACTGATTTTGGCCCGAATCGAGATTGAAAACCAGGTTGAGCCTCCTTCTCACTCATGATCAGCTACCGCGTTTACGATCACTAAATAGAAGCTTAATGAATGAATATGTACTCTATCCATATAAAGTTACAGCCAGTATACGTCCCATTGCTGGGTACAGGCTGCCCCTCATTTCTGAGAGGGTTTTAGGGCAAGGAAATGTCCGCCGCGCTACCCCAATGCGTGATGGCGAACTTCACATGTCTTTGCAATTTTTTTTCTTATTTCTCACACATGCAGGTTTCCTCACGAGTTTTTTCTTCACCGCCAGGCACGTGGTAAATCAGCACTTAAATTGCAACTAACAATTTCATTGGTGCCGGCGGGCATCGAATCCGGGTTGCTCGCGTGCTGTTAAATTTACAGCTAGCGCCAACCATCTCAGCTACCACAACTCTATCAATATGTTAGAGTTAATTTTTTTTAAATATTTTCTCTTGTTTATTAGTCTACATAATTTCTTATAATTTGACTCTCATCTCATACCTAACTAAATCTACAATATCATTAACTTGTGCTTAGTTCCTAAACACTTAGCACACCTAAGCGCAAAAAAATGCCTTAGATCAATCTTCGGTCTAAATCAGGATGATTCATGTGAACCGTAATTTCGCAAATATTAAATTCAGAGTCTGCCGTGTATGTATATATATGAGGTTGTAAACTTTGTTCGAAATAACCCAATTTATTTTAAAATGAATACTGCCGGAAATCGTCGTGAAGGCACATTGAAAGTTAACCACAAATGCAAAACCCTTCTTCGAAGAATGTGTGTAAATTGCATGGCACCAAAAATCTGTAATAAAATCACATTAAATATCCAATTAATTGATGATGTCAAGAATTTAAAACTGCGCTCAATGGCTTCCTTTGAAAAAGTTCGCCAGAAGAAAGAAGTTCGTTCCAAAAAGAACCAAACAGTTCGCCACGTCGTTCATCATGCGTACAGCAAAGGAGTGGAATAAGTTGCCAGCCTCTGTCTTTCCATCCGATTACAGTGTGGGTGTCTTCAAGGCAAGAGTGAATAGGTTTTTGTTAAGTCAGTGCGCTTCACCATCTCATGCTACATCACCACTTACCATCAGGTGGGATCGTAGATAAGCGCTGGCGTAGTAGAATAAAAAAAGTGTACTATGACATAAGAATATTTTTTGATGACAAAACGTAAAAATTACTTAATTATGTTCGTATACGTCTAAGGCGAAACATGGCTTAACCTAATAGTAATTTTGTATGTGACATCTTGTAATACCGATGTCTATGAATTATTCCAAAAAGGCACGTATGGCAATTCACAATGCTGTGTTAGTACCTACTTTAATGTATGGTAGTGAAAGTTGGGTGTGGCAGAAGAAGCATGAGAGTAGAATAAATGCTGTAGAAATGCGGTCATTAAGGAGTATGTTAGGGATGAAGCTGAATGACAGAGTGAGAAATTGTTTAATAAGAGAAGAGTGTGGTTTGCAAGATGATGTTGTGACCAGGATTAAGAAAGGAATGCTTCGGTGGTTTGGCCATGTAGAAAGAATGAATGAGGAAAGAGTGACAAAGCAAATCTATGTTGCAGAGGTGAACGGCATAGTCGGGAAGGGTCGCCCTGGGCGAAAGTTTATCGACCAAATTGGCGATATATTAAAAATGGGCCATATCAAGAGTACCTTTAACCGACGAGCGTGTATGCGTAGGTATATGAATGTGGAGGAAGCGAGAGAGGTGTGTCAGGATCGTGCCAAATGGATGTCCATAATCTCTGCCTACCCCTCTGGGTGACAGGCGTGAGTGTTTATGTTATGTTATGTTTTATGAATTAATAAATGATCGATTGATATTGATTGATTGATTTTTACACAATGACACATTAAAGTAGCAGCTTCAATAATAATAATTGTACTTCGTGGTGGTGTTAGATATATATAGTCGAGCAGTTTTTATGTTTAGATTAATCTAAACTTTATCTGCCGACTTCCAAAAATGAGACTGTACTCAATTCGACTGCATGTTTTTTTATGTGTGTTACCTCATAACTTTTTACTGGGTGAATCGATTTCGATGATTCTTTTTTATATGAAAGCTGATACTGCTCGTGTGGTCCCATATGAATTTGATTAAGGTCAGACCAATCATTTTTGAGTTATTCTTAATAACTTATATTGAAGTCGGCTGTACAAAATTTTTAATTTTTAATTATAACTAATAAAGTACATAAATAATGTTTGTTACCCCAAAAATAAATACGAGGCAGTCGTTTTATTATTATAATTTCACCTCTGTTTCAGCACTCTGAACAATAATAATCTTACGTATCTCTCACTGGAGCCAGCTTCGGTCGCACGTCTGCACACGTTGAGACTCACCGACAATCCGCTCGTATGCGATTGCCGAGTCTCCCGTCTGCTGACAGCCTTACGGGCCGCTGTCATCGTTGGCGTTGGAGCCAGGTTCGTATGCATCAGTTTTAGAAGTAAAAACTTCTTTACACGAGTTCTTTCTGAACACCACACGCTCTCATCGAATACCAGCGTAAAATAGCAGCTTAGTGCTGCTGTGTTTCGTATGGCGAGTATAGAGAACCGGAGACCCTTTTCAATGGAAACGAGGCAGACTATCTTAGTCCTGAAGACATATTTAATAAGGGCGATACACGAGCACACAGTCCACCTGATGGTAAGTGAATGCTGTGGCCCATAGACATCTACGTCTATCCTCGGTTGGATATCAAAATGCAGATGCTTTGTCACCCTTGAAGACTAAAAAAAAAACACTGAGTTACCACTAAAAATGCCGTAGAAAAGGCTTTAAGTGGTAGAGTCATGCTGCAGCTATATTGTGGTCGCAGCACGAATGGGTCGGCTCGACCGGGAAGGACCACGCTCTAACGAAATACCAACGTAAAATAGCAACTTAATGCTGCTGTGTTTCGTATGGTGAGGGTAGAGAACCGGAGACCCTTTATACTGGAAACGAGACATTCCATCTCAGTCCTCAGGGGTGACAACGCATCTGCATTTTGACTCATCATTGAGGATAGATGTAGATGTCTATTGGGCCACAGCATCCAATTACCATTAGGTGGACTGTGTGCTCGTTTATCACTTATTCTGCTGCTATACTCTGGTATTCTGTAAGAGCGTAGTCCTACCCTGGTCGAGCGGACCCATTCGTGCTTATTACCAGAATATAACTGCAGCGTGGCTCTACTACGTAAGAAGTTTTTTTTTTAAATAAAATGTCATACATAAAGATTTTTTATTACACACTATACGTTAAAAAAACCGACAGAAATTCTTGTTTGTTCCAGATGTCAAGCACCGGCAACACTTAGAGGCGCCTTGCTCACAGAGCTCGAAGTCCACGAGCTGGTATGCAATGGTAAGGCTGTTTCTTGACAACTTATTAAATTAAACCAGTTATGGCCAATCACTCAAACTCTACTCAATTTTAAGATGGCGTTAAGTCTCGTGCTGTCGCAGTCACTTTGACTTAAAGTGATAGAGATAGCACGAGAATTGCCGACATCTTAAGTTTGAGTAGCGGTTGAGTATTTAGGCATTAGTCCGGTAAGTTTGGGCACTTAGGGAGAGAGAAGATCTTGTCGTAAAGAATGCATACCTTGAATGACCTGTTGTTAAACAGCAGTATAAATAGTATGATGAGTTGAAAAAAGTACATCGTTCCCTATTCACAAACGACTGGTGACGAAGTAGGAAGGAAGAAAGAAATAGTGTTATTGTCTGAATCCAACATGTACTTAAATATTCACTTCATCATCAGTACAGTCCCTCACAAGTTCACCGCTGAATTTAGGCCTCTCTCAAAGAATACCGTAAATTTCATACCATGGCAGATCGTCACTTCATCAATTGACGGCAGCCCGACACAAAGCTCTCGAAAACGTTTCTTCTTCAGCAGTAGATCACTTGATAGTTTGTAATTATGAGAGATTTGGATACATGTTTCTCGAAGACCTTTCTTCCCATCCTTGCTCGGCTAGCATGGGCAGGAGACAATTTTATTCCCGGGGAAAGGAGAAAATGTTTATCCCCTCGATTAGTTTTATCCACCCTTCAAGCATAGGCACACCGGAATGTACACCACAGTAGATAAAATGGGCGATAGACTTAGATAGATTTTTTGTATGAATATAAACTTAAACCCTCGTCCAATGAACTATGATAGAAATGTCCCTTTCAAATGTCAAAAAAGCCGTGCTTTGGCATAGGGACAAGATAATTTTATCTCTTGTCAGTGGATATAATCGGGGGATAAAATTTTTGTCCCCAGCCCATACTAGCCGTGCTGGATCACTTAACAGCTTGTAAATTAGGATTTATTAATGTTGTATACTTGCAGGTCCAACCATAACAATTCTGGGTGAGTGCTCTGCAGAGCCTCGATGCCCACCTCCATGCCGCTGCACGGCAGAGGGCACCATGGACTGCAGGGAGAAGCTACTCTCTGAACTGCCCTCTACTATACCGCATCGCACAACTGAAATGTTAGTTGTAACAGATCATTCCGTTATTAATGTGCTGAGTAGAAGGCATTTTAATTGTTACTTTATCATTTCACGTGTGTGCTGAGTGTATGCTATTTTACTGTTTACCATTTCACTTCTGTGCTGTGTTTTATTTATCATAGTATGTATGTGCTGAGTTTATACTATTGCACGCCTCATAACGCAAAGCGATTTATATTCTAAATTGTAAAGAGTCCCTCAGAGAAAAATTTAAAGAAATAAATATATTAACTTTGGCATCGCGATATATTTATGAAAATGTAATGTATCTACATAAAAACATAAATAGCTTTAATAAGAATAAGGATGTTCATACCTTAAACACTAGGAACAAACGTAAGCTTGTAATGCCAGTTACTAGATTCCACAGAATTAGTAATTCATTTATGGGGCAATGTATACGCTTTTACAACAAAATCCCAGAACATGTTCAAAGTTTGTCAATAAAAAAGTTTAAAAGTTTTATTAAAGAAAAAGTGTACAAAAAGGGTTATTATAATATCAAGGAATATATGAATGAAAATAACCCCTGGGAATAAGGTGATCGCCACCATGCTGGTTCTATGAAAATTCATTTAAAATTGTATAAACAAAATTATTGTTAAGTGAAATTATGTTTAAAAAAAAGTCCCGCTGGGTTTCTTGCTGGTTCTTCCCAGTACAGAGGTATTTTCCGAACCAGTGGTAAATAAAATAATGACTTTCAATAAGCATTATGTAATAAATCCATATTGAATAAAAATCATTCTATTCTATTCTATTAGGTAGTGTATTAAGCTCGACACGTCAAGGTCAAGTAATTTTGTGTTCTTAAAATGCCTCTATCGTAACCATATTGCACTTGTACGATAATATGAGTAGCCGTGTATCAAGAATACACTCTAATTAATCTATCTTATATTTTCTGAAAAATCATTTTATATTGCTACTTTGAAAAAAAAAAGTTTAAAAAAATTTACGGACGTCCGGATGTTGATTTTGTATGTGGTCATGATAATTCCCGAAAAAATTGACGTATCGAGACCTGGTTTTTGTTATTAGCTTCAGAGTCACGTCAACTGGCTTTCTATTTCATATCAATAGCCTATTACGCGTAGTTTGTTAATTAAATTATTTTTAACTTTTATAAATTTTATTGCTATTATAAATTGTAAGGCGCTTTCGTATTTTTTAGTGTTTTTTTTTTGATAGATAAAGGATAAATGTATCATACAGCCTAAATCGATTTTATACTTTGTATAATCGATTTATTTTGTTAATTTATTTTTTTCATCATTTTTAAATGATAAGCTCATGAGGCGTGCACTTTTGGATTTTCCCAACTATTTTAGTTAGAGTAGACATTAATTTGCTGTATACCTTTACTTTGCCATTTGACTATGGTGAGTATATGCTACTTCACTGTTTATCATTTTGCTTCTGTGCTGAGTTGACACTATTTTACTGTTAAAATAACTTTTTACTATTTAACTGAGTAGACGCTACTTTGCTGTTTACATTTACTGTACCATTTAACTTCGGTACTGAGTGAATGCTATTTTATTGTTTTCTTTACTGTTACACCTCGGTACTGAATAGACGCTATTTTAGATTTCAATTTAAGAAACATAATATTGTATTTAAGATTGATTTGTAGAGAATTCCTTAAGCATTAAGTCCATCTATACATATATTATGAATAATATTGTCTCGATATGAAGATTTTTTTTTCAATTACATTATATTTAATGAAATCTAACAAGAATAAAGAATCACTAAAACTAAAAATTTTAACTGTCACACAGTCCTACCTCCCGTGGTTTAGTACCAAAAACGCTGGCTCCGTTTCCATACTGAATGGCTATACTTAGCCTTAAAGTAAATCAATAAATGAATATTTAAAAGAAATCATAGTAAAATAAAATGAAAGCTATTTTACTTATAATATATTAGAATTGAAATGAGTAGAACTTAATACATCCGGTGACCAACAATCAAATTTATTACAAAAATTAGTTTATACTAATCAATCTCAGGTAGTGTCTGTTTCAATAAAAAGTCCCGTGAAAAATATGCGAACTAGAAGTAAAGTATTGAATTTGGCAGCAATATTCAATCAATCAATCCCTCTAAAAGGTGCAGGAGTGTACAAGCTGGATTGTGAATGTGGTCTCTCTTACATAGGACAAACAAAAAGATCCATAAAAACCCGTGTGAAAGAACATATAGCTGGCTTGAAGCACCGACCTTCCAAGAAGTGAACAAGTTCAAGATTATCCCCGCCATTACATTAGATTTGATAGACCACAAATCCTCGCAAAAGAACACGGATTCCTACCAAGGATGATTCGCGAGGCTATTTAAATTAAAAAACATCCTAATTTCAATAGAGAAGATGGTGCTGCAATCTACTTGGGATCCTATAATTAATAAAATTAAATCCACACCCAAGCATACCACTGCAAGACTTCAAGTTCAAGATACTATAAGCTCATTCTGCGTAAAAATTAATATTCAAAAACTGAAGGTAGCCGGACTAACTATGATATCTGGACGTCAAACACCTCAGTACCCCCGTAACCATGGGTGCTGTAAAGCACCGGAAACGTCGGGAATAAAAAGTTAAATTAAACGCGATAAAATCCGTAGAAATTACTTTCATTTAATGTGTAGTGTTCGCGTAAATATAAGAAATCATTGAGCAATAATCAAATTTCGCTAAGACTGTGGCGGCGCTGCTAAGGGACTTTTTTTTAGTTAAAAATACTCTTTCAAACCATAGTTCAAATTGTAACCACTAACAAGCTTTGTTGTGTATTATGTCAATTTGGGTCTTAACGTTAAAAGATTATTCAAATATTAATTTCAATATTTGGAACAACTACTGGCGTTTAATTTAAATATCTTGTATCAATTTCCACTAGTCTACTATAACTATTAATGTGCCTATTATATAATGAGAAATGTTTCGGCCCTAACGGAGCACCTAGTGGTAACCGTCGTTAATTTAATTTTTGAATAGAAATGAAAAAAAAAAACAATTAAATGTGTCACTATTTATTTATATTTATGTTACTGCCTGGTCATTGTTTAATAATGTAATAAAATTTGTATAGTTAAGTCTATATATAAATTTGCTATCGGTCTCGCTAAAACTCAAAAACGGCTCGTTTTTTGTGTCTGTTTAAATGGGTCCCTAGATGATTTATGATTCACATTTGGACACGGTAGGTGGCGCTGTTACCGTGATCAAATCACCACTGACCGGGGACAGCTCACTGGAGCGGACCGCTAACTATTCAATATTTTTATGACATAATTAGATTATATTTCCGACATGCTAACTCAAACTCTATGTCCGTTAGTGTTTTGTTTATTTTGCATTGGTATTTAATACAGTTATTTTAAGATACCTAATTTAATTAATATGCAATATATACTTTGTATGCCCGCAGGGTAGGATATAGTTGAACATTATTATATACAAAAGCTTTAACAAAAATTTACTTCGCAAATATCCGCGTTATAAAATAAAATGATGTGTCTTACCTAGTATGAAGAGCACCTCCCGCCCTCCCTCAATTGCGTGCACTATCCCCGTCACCACTAATCCCAGCACCGCTACTCCCAACACCACTACACTAGGCAAGACACACCACTGACGACAATACGACACGTGTTTCGCCTCTACACGAGGCATCCTCAGGTGATATAGACTCTACGGTGGCTAACCGCTAAGTGAACTTAAGTGAACTTAGTAACGCCTGATTCTATTAATTACATTATTATATATGCAGCTGACATAATACCTATGATCCAATAAATAAATGGTTCTGATCCTGAATATGTTTCTCATCGGTATTTCTATTTCAGCCGTCTAGAACAGAATGAGATTACGGAAATAGGCGCCGGTGCATTCGTACCAGTAAAAAGAGTCGCTCGTATCGACCTATCGAATAACAAAATCGCCAAGATCGCCGCCGACGCGTTTAACGGACTTACACATCTCACTTCTTTGTAAGTATATTGTTTATCAAATTACAGTATTGTCCTCCAGATGGAATTTAGGTCATTGCGGCCAGCCTCAGTGGAGACCAGCCATCACTCTCTATTCCCTCACTCTCATAGTGCGATGGGACGGTAAACCGACACGACACGGGTTCGAATACCGGGTCGGGCCAAAAAAATCAGTTATTGCACTTTTCCATCGAGAAATTCTCGGTAGCTGCCCGGAGTAAGGAATTTGGAGGTGTCTCACCCCCGTGCCTCACAAAGCATGTAAAACCGTTGGTCCCGCGCCTGATCTCTCTCCGGTCGTGTCTGTTTACCGTCCCATCGCACTATGAGAGTGAGGCAACAGAGAGTGCACCTGTGCTTGCGCACACACTCGTGCACTATAAGCCTGTGCTGCGCAGATGGCTAGTCTCCGTTGAGACTGACCGCGGTCAGGAGTACATTAAGCTTAACCGACCAGCATGTATGTATAGATATATGGATGTAAAAGAAGCGAAAGAGGTGTCTCAGGATCGTGCCGTGCGATCTTTGTTTGTAACAGGTATGGTATGAGCTTGTAGATTTAGTATACTACGTATCAATTGACTCGGTTGATACACAAGAGCGATTCGATTTACACTTGAGTTAAAATAAATTATATACACACAAAACAATGAGGGCCTAATAATTTGCTGCTCACCAGATGTCGCTAGTTGACACTGAGGTAAAGTTGTTTGTTACAGAATGTAATTTAATTGAGAAGTTGATTTTTAACAAAAGCTTATCAGTTTCTAGAGTATTATATTAATACACAAAACAATGCCTCAGTGGTTTGCTCTTTAATTTATTGCACATTTTTAACTTTTTTTTTTTAATTTTTCTATTTTTATGAATATCTGTGGTTTGGATAATTTATTTTTAATCTTATTAATAGTGCAGAAAGAAACAATAATCTTTTACATTTTCCGAACAAATTAACTTCCCCGCTATGAAATCTGTCAAATATTATACCTCATTTTAAGTGGCGCCGCCCTGGTGGCAAAAAAATCGTGGATTACCTCATTAATAGGATCTATAGTTTTTTTTTAGTAAATATATTTTCAGCAAAAGACTCAGTCGAAGGTGTAGTTTAAAAATAAATTAAAAAGGAAATTATGGCTTAATATAGCTTTAAAATTTTAAACGAAAGTTTACCAAAAGTAATTTCCAATTAGTACAATAAACAATAAAGAACAGGTAAAAAAAAAGGTTATTAACAATACATAATCTTTTCTGTTTGTTTGTTTCGATCAAAACTCCCGATGAACTGGAGACTCTATAATTATAACTCAGATTCGGGTGACAATGTTTTCCTAGCTACTACCGTTTATATAATAGGTCTTTAAGTGATTATATTCTCTTTGGTCTTTACCTGTCAAATTGCCGTTCTTCAGTACTGGCCATTTCAAATCATAACAATTTTTGTTTCGGCTAAGAATTCTAATTACAAATTAATTTTATTTAAAAAAAAGTGCCTTGGCGAAGATGCATCATTACTTGTGATTATTAGAAATAGAGCAAAAAAAAATACGTTAATTTATTTCATAAATACGGCAATTTCATTGGCAAAATAGAACCTTTTTAGTCAATAATTTCGCAATTAAAAGTAAAAATTTAAAAAATATATTTAAAAAAAAGTTTATTTACCTTTCCAACAGAGTACTATACGGTAACAAGATCAAAGACTTGCCGGCTGGGATATTTCACGGGCTCACTTCGCTACAGCTTCTGTAAGTATACGGAAATACCGGGTGGTAATGACAATGCTACAATGAATGGGTAAATGGGTTTCTAGAAAAATTACTTAAAAATGTGGATATCCGCAGTAGAACCGGAGTAACCGACATACCCCAACGGATTAGTAAGCTGAAGTGGCAATGGGCCGGCCATGTAGCTCGAAGAACCGACAAGCAATCGGGAAGAAAGGTTCTCGAGTGGCAGCCTTATGCCGCTAGACAAATTGTATGGCGGCCCCCAACTAGATGGAATGACGACCTGGTTAGACATGCAAGAAGTCGATGGATCCAGGTGGCTCAGGACCGTGCTTTGTGGCATTCCTTACGGGAGGTTTATGTTTAGCAGTGGACTTGTGAATGGCTGTAATGATGGTGATGGTATAGTATTTGACTTAATCACAATGTTACGGAATATCACCGAAAAACACCTTAATTAGACCCTTTTTAAGGTTCCGTACCCAAAGGGTTACCAACGGGACCCTATTACTAAGCCTCCGCGGTCTGTCCGTCCGTCCATTCGTAAAAAAATAATTTTAAAAAAATAATTAAAAAATTAAAGGCCGCTCCCCTACTAGAAACGTGTTTGAAGATTGTACGGAACCCTTCATGCGCGAGTCCGACTCGCACTTTGCCGGCTTTTCACTGGTAACAAGGCTATCTTAGTCCTCAGGGGTGACAAGTGACAACGCATCTTCATTTTAACTCTTATTCGAGGATAGCTATAGGTATCTACTTACCATCAGGTGGACTGCGTGCTCGTTTGTCCCACTTACGCGGTAGAACCATGCTGCAGCTATATTAGTAGTATAGTTGTAGCACGAATGGGTCGGCTCGCCCGGGGAAGGACCACGCTCTCACAGAATACCAGCGTTAAATAGCAGCTTAACACTGCTGTATTTCGTATGGTGAGTGTAGAGAACCGAAGACACTTTTTACTGGAAAAGAGGCATTCCATCAGTCCTCACGGGTGACAACGCATCTGCATTTTGATTCGCAAACGAGGATAGATGTAGATGTCTATGAACCACAGCAACCACTTAACATCAGGTGGACTGTGTGCTCGTTTGTCACCCTATCCTATATAAAAAAGAAACTTATTTTATAAAAAAAATAATATAAGAAATCACCATATAGATTGTAAGTTAATAATTTTTCCAGGTTGCTCAATTCCAACGAAATCTCGTGCCTAAGGAAGGACACGTTTAGAGATCTTCAGAGCTTGAAATTATTGTAAGTGTTCATTTTCGTCCCTACCCTGATGTGTGATTGTGTAAGTTAAGTGTGTAAGAAGAAGAATTAGAGTAAAAATAATACTTTAGAAATTCAGTCATAGAGAAGTGTGTGATAAGAGAAAAGTGTAGTTTGCAAGATGTTGTGACCGGGATTAAGGCGTTTCCATGACCAAATAACCTTGAGCATGCAGTGGACTGCCGCCCGCACTCTGCGTACGCCCATTTATCATAGAATTCACACAATTTTTGGAATTAATTTTAATTAAAAAAAGAAAAGCGAATATAGATTTTTATATTATCTATCCATTAGTGCAATCGTCAAATGATTAGTGCGTTGTCTTTAGCAACAGATGCATGTAATCAATAATTTTAGTCATTTTATAAAAGTAGATTTCAAATGTATTTATAACACATAAAAACAAATTAGAATGTGGTATATGATGATAGGATCTAGAATCGAACATTAATAATGTGCTTTTAGATCATTGAGTTATATGTACTACGTACTAGAGAAGCCATTCCAAACAAAAATTGTGTCCTACTCTATGTCTTCGCGCATGCGTGGGAGTAGTGGAGTTTTCGCGGGAACTTGACCGGCGGCGGTTTGCTGCTCATATGTAAAAGTGGTGCGATTTTGTGTATTAAGTGTCTGCGCATGTGAACTATTAGTGGAAACGGTGAAACAAGTGCTCTGATGGTGATGTGATTCTCAAGATAAGGTGTCTGTCTCCTTATGCGCCTTGAGATACCATCGCCAACTGTCAGCTGTCTGCTGGCTCAAGTTGCCGTCAAAATCTCCCAAGGGCTGCACAATGTGACGCATCAACATATTGTGAAGCAGTATACTATGAAGGATAGTTATTACAATATATTGTAACTTCAGGCTCAGGAGGGCTAGATCCCAGAGCCGTAAAGCCAGTTATTAAGAAAAAAAGAAGAAGAAACGGGAGTAGTAGTCGCGCATGCGCGAAGACTTTAATTTAATATAAAATAAGATATTAATATAAAATAAAAATGAGAATTTAATATATAATATCTTATTTTAATCTAAACAAACATATTTCTAAATAAAATGTAATAATAATTTTCTTACGGAATTCACAAATCTTCAATTTACGCAATATTTTAGTTTGTACGGATTGGAGTACAGTCAAAGAAAATATACACTAGGCGAAAAGAAACGACACTTAAGCATGTGTGCACGTAAAATCGCGTGCGGCTATGTGTGGGTTTCTGGATGTGTGCGGGGGCTTTGACAGGCGCGCGGGGCGTGGAACGGGCCGTCGCCGACTGCCCTGACCTATCTCACGCACCGCACGCAAGCACAGACTGACTGCGCTTTATACAAAAATAATGCCTATTCATTTGTATATAATTGTTCAACTTTTATTTAGTTACAATATTTGTTTATATGTATAGGACATTTATGTTATATATATATATTGTGCCGGACGGGCGTAACTCTCCGGAGTAAATGTTGTCGAAGATACTCCGCGAGTCGCTCACGTCCTACACCTATAGGTTCCGGAGGATACTTCCACTGCCGTCTCTGTGTGTGCTGCTGGAAAACTGTGGACTGAGCTTCAAAATTAAAATGCACGATTTATAAATTCAAATAGCAAGGGAGTGGCCAGTGGTTCGACTGATTAATTAGTCGCGAAATTTTATAATTATTATATATTGACCACGGTTGTTGAATACGGTTGTTCAACTACGGTTGTTCACTATTGGCAGGCCTCCGTCAATCGCTCAAGACCCTGCGTTATATGCCTACCGTTTTGCGTATCGCCCACGATACAACCGACATTGGGCTGCCGCACGCTCGCCTGAGCGCTTGCACCGCACACGTTTCCCGCGCTTACTCGTCGAAATGCCGAAACCACGTAATTATTACGCAGTGGATGGGTGTCAGAGACAAAAAACAAATGAAGAATTGTCTTTTTTTTTCTTAAATATAAGATTACATTGAAACAAAGCATAACAGTGCTGTAATTTATAAATTGAGTGACAACCATTTTCAACAATAAAATTTAATAACCGAGAATTCAAAGGAAAGAAATTATAAATCATTTTATAAAACTCAAACATATTTTATTGATAAATATAAAATATGGTTATTTCGCAAGATTCGTTTTATTACAATAATCATCATAGGTATAGATGAGACCCTAGAGCATTCGTGTGATGACGTGCTTGCACGTGACGGCGGCTCTTCACGTTGGCCAACACACTGGCGAATGTGTTGGCCAACAACGATGGCCATCGTGTAGAGCGGGTGTTTAAGCTACGTTGGTACGTATTGGAACGATGGCGCACAAGTTGGCGCGAGACGGCGGCTCTTCACGTTGGCCAACACACTGGCAAATGTGTTGGCCCACAACGATGGCCATCGTGTAGAGCGGATGTTTAAGCTACGTTGGTATGTATTGGAACGATGGCCCACAAGTTGGCGCGAAATCCGTGTGGTGTCGGTTTTTTGCAAAAGATCAAAGCGTTGTGGCAGAGTATTGGTCGTCGCGTCCACACGTTGGGCGCACGTTCAGTTTGCTACGAGCTCCCAGAGTGATTGCACGCACCTGATTTAAATTTTATATGCACGCATGGTAACTAGTGTCTACATAACGGCAGTAACAATGACCAATGAAAAAACTTTTCGCTTTATAGAGCCCTACCAAGCCGAAAATTGTTTGTAAAACACAAGTCTCATTGCTAAGCCACTACGCCACGGAGCCGTCAAGAAATAAAATTTCTTTTTTCCATTCCTTTTTGATCACCCTTATCTTATACACATTCACGTTGTAGTGATTAATTGTGTATTAATTTATTTATTGATGTATGTATTAATTGATTTATTAAATATCTTAAAATCTATATTATAATATATTAAAATCAAATTAAAAAGTAGGATACTAAAATCATGTTTTTACTGTCTTTATTATTCCCTATTAATTACTTTATTTCGTTAATAATACTGTAATTTTTAGCTATGGAAGAGCGAAGTCACCTGTTACAGGCATTATTTTGCTTACTAGGTGACCTCGATCACTGATCATATAATGTAACTTTAATGTTTGACAAAATAAATTATTTATTATTATTATTATTAAGTTTTATTCTATAATTATACCTATGTAATAAGAATAACCCTTTTTAAAAAGGTTTTGTTTAATAAAATTTTACAACAGTTTCATAGACAGGCTTCGAATATTTTCCAGGCCTAAGTTGTAAAAGTGTTAATTATACCTATGCCTAGGTGTGTTAATGTTTATATAGTTTACTTATCTGTATAACGTTAGTGTATAATAAAGAAATATTAAAAATTTATATTAAAAATATTAAATATAGTGAAAATTAAATATAAAATAATGATATGCTGTAAATAAATAAACCGCAGCAGCCGTTAGCGCATCAATAATCATTTTAATAAATTCGTCCGCACATTGGCCTGAACCAAAGCAAACTGGACGACCTTCCAACGTGTGGACGCGATCACAATTTCTTGGCCAATAACTCTGCCAACACATTCGCCACTGTGTTGGCCAACGTGAAGAGGCGCCATGAGTCGCACGGCGGCCAACACAATCTCGACTCTTTATTCGCGTATTTATGGTACATTTTCCTCTCGCTGCGAATAGCAGATATTATTATTAAGATTTTGTAGGCTATTATAGCGTAGGTATTTTCGCTTTTGTATGAGAGTGATGTATCTGTTTAGTAAACTATTAAGTAATCTGTGCTATTGGTTGGTCACTATACATATATTTCAAAAGACTTAATTAAAATGTGCGGTAGTTTTAAAATATCTATTGGTAGTATCAAAATATCTATTGGTAGTATCAAAATATCTATTGGTAGTATCAAAATATCTATTGGTAGTAGCTGGTTTTCTAACACTACTTACTAGCAGCTATTAATCAACTAAAACTAGTTGATTTTATCACTTGTGTAACTGCGAATATCAATTACCACTTTTTTCGTCTAGCTAACACTTTTCACTATATGTAACTGCGAATTTTCAATTAAACACTTTTGTACTATATGCAACTGCGAATTTTCAATTGCCACTTTTTTCGGCTAGCTAATACTTTTTTACTATATGCAACTGCGAATTTTCAGTAGCCACTTTTTTCGGCTGTGTGTAACTGCGAATTTCATTTACGACCTTTTTCGGCTAGCTAACACTTTTTCTAATTTACTGTTACTGTTCACTATGTTCTGCTACTGGTCACTTCAGATCAGTGGCGTAGCGTGCCTTAGATGGGCCCTGTATCAAAATTTGTTGGGGGGCCCCAATGAAGAGAAACGCTTGCATTGAATTCAAATTATTATATATTGATTTTAAGTCCACTGCTGAACATAGGCCTCCCCCAAGGAATGCCACAAAGCACGGTCCTGAGCCACCTGCATCCATCGACTTCCTGCATATCTTACCAGGTCGTCACTCCATATAGTGGGGGGACGCCCTACACTTCGTCCGCCGGTACGAGGCCACCACTCGAGAACCTTTTTTCCCCATCAGTTGTCGGTTCATCAAGCTATATGGCCGGCCCATTGCCACTTCAGCTTACTAATCCGTTGGGCTATGTCGATCACTCTGGTTCTACTGCAGATATCCTCATTTCTAAGTTTATCACGCAGAGAAACTCCGAACCCTCTCCATAGCTCGCTGAGCGACCTTAAGCTTCCTCATCCGGCCAGCAGTGAAGGAAAACGTCTCAGTACCATAGGCCATCACTGGCAACATGCACTGGTTGTACAGTCTCGTTTTCAAGTTTTGAGGTATACCTGACGAGAAAATATGCCGTAATTTCCCGAACGCTGACCAGCCGAGTTGAATCCGTCGATTGACCTCTCAGTCGAAGTTGGACTTACCTAGTCGGACTATTAGTCCCAGGTAAACATACTCGTCAACAACTTCGAGCTTAGTGCTCCCAACGAATACCGGCATAGGTGTGACATGGACATTAAACATGATCTTTGTTTTGTCCATGTTCATCTTAAAACCTATCCGTTGGGAAACACTATTGAGGTCATTAAGCATAGTGCTTAGGTCCTCCAGCGATTCTGTCATAAGGACTATATCGTCGGCAAATCGAAGGTGAGTGATGTACTCGTCATTGATATTAATACCGTATACTTTCCAGTGCAGAAGCTTGAAAACGTCTTCCAATGCAGCGGTGAAGAGTTTCGGGGATATAACGTCACCCTGTCTAACACCTCTCTGCAATTGGATAGGTTTCGTACTCTGGTTCTGTACTCGGATAGCCATCGTAGCCCTACTGTACAAGCACTTCAGCACTTCGATATACCGACAGTCAACTTGGCATCTATGGTGCTAAAGCCTTTTCGGAAACCGGCTTGTTCGAGAGGCTGGAAATCGTCAAGTCTGCGCGCGAAACGTTTCATAATGACTCTCGAAAACAGCGCGTAGACGCGGCTCAGAAAGGAAATCGGTCTTTAGTTCTTCAAGAGAGCGTTGTCACCTTTCTTGAAGAACAAGACCACCGCACTTCTGCTCCACGCCTCCGGTGTATAATGCCACCATGGAGGACTTCAAGTACCGGTTTCCCACCCGCTTTCAGAAGCTCCGCTTTAATTCCATCCTCGCCTGGGACCTTGCCGTTTTTAAGGTGCTGGAGAGCCATTCTAATCTCGCTCAGACTGACGTCCGGTATATCATCGGAATAGTGTCGGATAAAACTCGCTCTTGGATTAGTGGTTTGGTTAGGTTCAGCGTGCCTCTCACCATTCGGTGATCGCTACCGGTTTTCACCCTCGCGATCACTGAGACATCACTGGACAGTTGTCGTCTGGTCGTCATAATGAAGTCAATCTCATTTTTGTCGAACCGTCGGGGCTCGACCAGGTCCACTTCCTGTGGGGCTGCTTCTGGACGAAAGAGTTCATCATAAAGAGTCCCTCATTCACCATGAAGTCGGCCAGCGGCTGGCCCCTTGGGTTCCGTTGCCCTATTCCAAATTTCCCTACTTTCAGATCACCGTTCTCTTGTGCCTAGTTTTGAGTTGAAGTCTCCCATTAACACCGTATAGTAGGTTTTGGGGGAATGCATGGCTCTAGTCTAGAGATATCCTCGTATATGTCCTCCACCTCCTCATCGGGAGGTGAAGGACATTACCGTTTGGGGATTCTGGGTATAAGGTACACAACCCTCGTCGACACACTCCCAATATTTACAACGTTGTTAACAAGAGAGTTGTGGACGATAAATCCGACACCTCCTTGGGACAGATGGTCGCCCTCCTGGTGATAGAACAAATTGCCGGATTCGAGGATTACCGTGTCCTCCCCCTCTCTTCGGACTTCCGATAATCCTATGACATTCCAGCGCAACTTGTTTATCTATCTTCCAGCTCCACGATCTTCTCGTCAGTCCTCAGGGTGCGTGCGTTATAAGTTGCCAGGTCGAGTCGTCGTAAGTGGCAACAGAACCTCCTGCCCCGCCGTTACCACGGTCGCCACCGTAGCCAGGAATAGCGGGACCGCCGGGAACTGGGGGCCATCTCTTCGCTACTTTCATGGAGGGGGGGGGGGGGGGTATATTGCCATAGCGGGTTGGCAACCGAAGTTTTTTTATTGTTGTTTTGCTGTTATCAGAAAGATGCTGCTGCCAATTCTCTGCCTCAGTTTCCCTCTGTCGCCTTTTACGGCACCCACGGGAAGATATAGGGTAGTGAGTGTTCTACACTGCCACTACACGGGTTTTTGAGTTATTACTTACAATTAATACTCCTAGGAACTAAGCTAGCCAAACAATTCAAATCAAATATACACTTTTCGTGATTCGGTGATTCGTCGATTCGGCTGCATTCATAGCTGAAGACGATTTCATTTTCACTAAATTCTTTACTTCTATAGACAATAGTAATAGCCTTTCCTGTCCCATAGAAGTCCTTGGAATTTTTGCTCACACACGTTTGGGGCCCCTGTAGTCCGGGGGCCCCGTATCATTGATACGGCTGATACGGCGGTAGCTACGCCCCTGCTTCAGATACTACTGCTTGTCACTGGTAGTTCTTCACACTACAACGTTACTGGGTTTCGCCCCCATAAGGTAGACTTCGACTATACTGTATAGTGAACCGCTTGCCATTTTCCGTTTTGCCTCTTTATTTTAAAACATTTTCACTATGTAATTGGCACAAATTGCAATATTTTCTATACAACACTAATTTCTACACTAACACGCTATACATCGTTAAATCGGCATTTTGGTCCTTTATCAGTATGTGATAAAGGTTATTCAATATATTTACATTTTAAAAAGTTATTAAACGAAATGTCCCAAATTTTCATAACAAATGGGTACATTAATTCTTTAATTTTTCTATAACTACCAAATGCGTTTAATTATAAAAATTATTTCTTCACTATCGTAATCTATATACCATATGCTAACTAAATGTCATATTTACAACTCTTTTAGAACACAAAAATATTCTCATTATTTTTACTACAAACTATTGCGCAGTTAATTTAACTTCCAGAAAGTTCTACGATATGACGCGCTGTGATTGGTCGATTTTTTTCTTAAACAATTAAACTTGTTTATATTAACTATATATATTAAGAGTTGTAAACACATTGTAAAACTATATTAATACGCAATTTACTCGATTTCGTTGGTAATTTCACTTTTTATACAAAACAATATTCTTTCATCACTTTGTTTCTTAAAGTCGCGGCCGTCGCGAACATATATAATAGTTTTAAAGTATATATTTGTACTTTCATATATTTATATTTATAAAAATATATTTTATATGTATATACCATACCATATTTCTATTTTATGGCTCTAATAAAAATAATGTTATTTTTGTCGCCAAACCACACACGTTTTTATAGTTTTCTTGCAATCCTGTCCATCCAAAGGTTGTCTTGAAGAGATCGCTCTTAGCGATAAGACCACCCATTGTACCACATTTATTTTTCTCAATTTTTGTTAATATTTATGTAATTTTTTGGTGTACAACAAAATGTTATCTATCTATCTATCTATATATGCTTCCCTATGGATTTAAAAAAAATATATATATATATATACGGCTACGAATTTTGCAATACTTAGAAATAATAATAAAAATTATAAAAGTCATCGAAAAAGCCAAAAATATATAAGAGTAAGTAATTTTTAAAGGGTAGTAGGTAATACTGATTATTGCGTACTGAAATACTAAGTGTTGGTTAATTATTATTTAAGATTACCATTAACTGTCGTGCATATTTTGTTTTGTCGAAAATTTTAATTTTCCCCGTCTGTAAACATATTTTATTTGATTTATAATTGATCGTATCTTTCACTATCTAAATACATAAGTTTACATTATATAACATATACCTACTATGTATCTTCTTTAGCACAAGTCTATAATATTGCATTTCGGTTCGGTATCAACCCTAGCGTTGCACGCTCCCGCCTAATGTCACTGGCGCTTCAACTCTCACGTACAGAGAGTGTCACCGATGTGGTACAGTTGAGTTGAACATAGTCAATGTTCGGAATGCGAAATCTAGTGCGTAGTCCATATTATATATCGATGTTTTAGATGTAGTTTATTTCTCATAACTAATGAGAAAATGGTCTCTGAATAACGAAGAAAAACGCACTATCGCAAGGTTTTAGTCGGGGTATCGCCTTAAGAAAGGAATGCTTTCGTGGTTTGTACACGCAGAAAGAATGAATGAAGAAAAAGTGACATAGCAAAATGCTGCAGTAATGAGTGGCAGAGTCGACAAAGGACACTCTAGACGGAAGTATCAAATTAATTGGCGATATATTTTGAGAAAAATTAGGCGCATATTTTTCAGACGGGCATTTATACTTTAATATTATTATTCATAGGTCGACTTAACTGGGGAAGGTCCACGCTCATACCAGCGTAACTAGCAACTTAACGCTGCTGTGTTTCGTATGGTGAGTGTAGAAAACCGGAGACCCTCTTTACTGGAAACTAGGCATTCCATCTTAGTCCTCACTGGTGACAACGCATCTGCATTTTGATTCTTAATCGAGGATAGATGTAGGTTCATGCATACACTTAACACAAAGTGGACTTACTTTTTTTTTTAAATAGTATATTTAAACAGCTTTTAAGGTGATGTAAATTTAAAGTGAGTTAATGTATGCGGCACCCAAAGGTGATGAGTTTTCAATTCAAATGTCAATGATGAAGTCACCATACCAATTAAGTTATATAAAGGTTATGAACATGTTCCAGATCGCTCTACGACAACAACATCAGGTCGATACCAAACGGGACCTTCGACTCGCTGACTGGAATCCAGACTTTGTAAGTTGTAAGAAACTATTATGCATGATTATTTTGCAATAACCGGCCAAATTTGCAAAGAAGGTTAAGAGTAAATAACATAAGAAAAATTAATTGCAAAAAAAAACCCAAACATTCCATCCTTTTTATCTTTTAAATTCAAAATGCGTGGTAATGCATCATTTTAACTCATTTTACTGCGCACGCACACATTCGTAATGGTCGGTCGGTGAGCAAAAACGATGTTGCCCATAAATCACATTCAATTTGGGATAATTTCAAATAAAAGTAAGCCGTAATTACTCATATTTTCAAAAACTGCAATAACGTTATATCATTATTTATATATTAGTAGTTAAGTTTAAAATTTGGCTACTCATTAAAAATAACCCTGTATACGACGTTCCTAATGATCCACGACTTTTTCTGCCACCAGAGCGACACCATTAGGAAATGCGGTATAATATTTGACAGATTTCATAGCGTGGAAGTTAATTTGTTCGGAAAATGTAAAGGTTAATGTTTCTTTCTGTACTATTAGTTATATATTTTATATTAATAAGATTAAAAATAAATAAACCAAACCACACATATTCATAAAAGTAGAAAAATTAAAAAAAAAAAGTTAAAAATGTGCAAAAAATTTAAGAGCAAACCACTGACGCATTGTTTTGTGTATTAATATAATACTTTAGAAATTGATAGATTTTTATTTAAAACTAACTTCTCAATTAAATGACATTGTGTAACAAAAACATTCAGTGTCAACTGGCGACATCTGGTGAGCAGAAAATTATTAGCCTTGAGTTCGTTTATTCCACTCAATATAGTTAAATAATTTAACTGTATGAAAAAATGAAAGTTTTTTTTTTAATTTTTATAATATTGAGTATGTAAAACTATGTCAGTGCAATTTACCATCTTTGCCTACGTCATCACTTACCATTAGGTGGGATGGTAGTCAATCACTATATTATAATAATTTAAAAAAAAATATAATGTCAATCTAATATAAACTTTACTTCACAGACATTTAGGTCGGAATCCCTTCACCTGCGACTGCTCGCTGCGCTGGTTGGCGGCGTACCTCCGAAAGAACCCGATCGAAACATCGGGAGCCAAGTGCGACACTCCTAAAAGACTGAACAGGAAGCGGATCGACGCGTTGCGAGATGAAAACTTTAAATGCAAACGTATGTATCATCATCTATACAAATAAAATGTGTCTGATTGTAATGTCAAAATCACAGCTTTTTACTGAATACGTATTAAAGTCATTTTAAAAAGGTGTAAGCTCGTTTCTTGAAGGTCCCTAGTGTCGGTCCGGAAAAATCGCCGGTGGTAAACGTTTCCACAAAGTAGTCGTGCAATGAAAAAAACTCTTATAGTAAATTTTTTTTTTTTTTTATAGGAGAGGGGGCAAACGAGCATGCGGCTCACCTGATGGTAAGTGACTACCGCCGCCCATGAACAACCGCAACACCAGGGGAAATGCAGATGCGTTGCCGGCCTTTTAAAAAGGAGTAGGCTCTTTTCTTGAAGGTCCCTAAGTCGTATCGGTCCGGAAAAATCGCTGATGGTAATCGATTCCACAAGGAAGTCGTGCGAGGAAGAAAACATCTTCTAAATCGCACAGTGGTGGACCGCCAATCATCCAGATGGTGTGGATGGTATCGGGAGTTCTGCCGCGATGTGCGTTCATGAAATTTGGCGGCTGGGATTAATCCGAACAATTCCTCAGAGCACTCCCCATGGTAGATGCGAAAGAAAATGCAAAGAGATGCAACATCTCTTCGCAGTGCCAATGAATCGAGCCGATCGGAAAGGGCTCGGTCGTCGACGATTCGAGCCGCTCTGCGCTGGATGCGGTCAAGTGGAAGGAGCTGGCACTGGGGAGCCCCAGCCCAGAGATGGGAACAGTATTCCATGTGAGGCCGAACCTGCGCCTTGTAAAGTTGCAGGCGGTGTGCCGGCATGAAATACTGTCCCGCTCTGCTGAGCACGCCAAGCTTTTTAGAGGCCAATTTGGCCTTCTCTTCCAAGTGACCACGAAACTGCACGTCACTCGATATGTCGACTCCGAGGATACCGATACTGGCTGAGGCAAGAAGGGGAGTGCCTTGAAACTGAGGAGATACGACAAAGGGGTTCTTTTTAGCGGTAAACGCGCAAACTTGTGTCTTCTGAGGATTAAACTGGACTAGATTTAGTCGCCCCCAATCCGAGACTTTGTCCAGCAAAGACTCGACTTCAGACACAAGTTTGTTCCGGTACTCGGCGACGTTTTCCCGAGAAATATTGGCCCGGCCGGTGTATAGAGCATCACCAGTGCTGTCATCCGCATAGCAATGAATGTTACCAGTTAGCAACATATCATTGATATGCAGAAGAAACAGCGTTGGTGATAGCACACAGCCTTGTGGAACACCAGCGTTAATAGGCTTGTAGTCAGAACATGCACCGTCTACAACGACCTTGATGCTCCGATCTGCAAGGAAGCTGGTGATCCAATTGCACAATTTCTCGGGAAGCCCATAGGAAGGGAGCTTCGAAAGAAGCGCTTTGTGCCAAACCCGATCGAAGGCCTTCGCAATGTCCAGATTAACAGCCAACGCCTCCCCCTTGGACTCTACTGCCTCCGCCCATCTATGGGTCAGGTAGACTAGAAGATCACCAGCTGATCGACCCCGACGAAAACCGTATTGGCGGTCACTGATCAGCTGGTGATCCTCAAGGTACCGGATGAGCTGGCAGTTAATAATGGATTCCATTAATTACACAGTAGTGGACCGCCAAGCATCCAGATGGTGATGATAGCTGTAAGTTTTCAAAAAAAATATTGGCTGGTGCTACAAAGTCCCATCTAGCAGCTTGGACTCAATGGAAAGGCGCGCTAAGAGACTTACTGATGACCTGAATCTGTTTTAAACCAATCTTATCACAGAGCACAGACGCAAAGTAACTTTCTCTGTTCTTCTAAGACTATGTGCAAGAATGGTACAATTTTTTACGTGGTAGCGTCATACTGCAGCTATATTAGTAGTATAGTTGTAGCACGAATGGGTCGGCTCGACCGGGGAAGGACCACGCTCCCCCAGTATACTCTTTTTTTATTCTAAGCATTACCACGCATTTTGAATTTAAAAGATAAAAAGAACAGAATGTTTGAGATTTTTTCAAATGAATATTCTTCACCGTTTGTCTATATTACTTATTCTGAACCCTCTCTGTAAATTTTACCGGTTATTGCAAAATAACATTGTATATATAATAGTAATAGATAATAATGATCCGTTTTATAAAGTTGTTTAACTTGTTACAGCGGGCGAAGGAAACATCGAGGGTGCGTGCGGCGCAACAGGCGCGTGTCCGTCAGCTTGCGCGTGCGAGTGGGACGCAAGAGGTGTGCGAGTTGCATGCGCCAGAGCGGGACAGACTGATGTTCCACGCGATCTGCCCATGGCTACGCACGCGCTGTGAGAAGCTTTTTCAACTTTTTTTAAATGCGAAGACTACTATGTATAATTATAATAATGTCCTCCAGACCGAATTTCGGTCACTGGGGCCACTCTCCATGGAGACTAAACATCTTCGCAAGACACGATTATAGTGCACGAGTGGATACACTGCTGCACATGCTGCAGCTATATTGTATTATAGTTGTAGCACGAATGGGTCGGCTCGACCGGGGAAGGAACACCTCTCACAAAATACCAGGGTAAAATAGCACCTCAACGCGCTGCGTTTCGTATGGTGAGTGCAGAGAACCGGAGACCCTTTTTACTGGAAACGAGGCATTTCATCTTAGTCCTCACGACTGACAACGCATCTGCATTTTCATTCGCAAACGAGGATAGATGTAGATGTCTATGGGCCACAGCAACCACTTAGCATCAGCTCGTAGGTGGTTGCTTGTCACCTTTATCCTATTAAAAAAAAGTGGCGCCTCTCTGGTGGCAGAAAAAATTATGACCCTCGTTATCTGTAACATCTTTAGCCGACTGTGAGCTGACGAGAAGATTAGTTCTTTGTTTTGTTAACCGCGAACGTTGTTTTCGACAATCTAACACTGAATTTGCTTGCGTCTAAGTAAACGCCGTTATTATTTATGTGCGCACTTTGTCAAAATGATTTGAAGTTTATTTCTAACTGTAACTTTATTTCGTAGCTGCTTATAAAACAGTAACTGTCGTAAAGGATAATACAGCTGCGTGGCATATTTACTGTGCCAGCTACCCGTCAAAATCATTTCTGTGACACAGCTTTTTTGTTGTGAATGAGGGCTAATAATTTTCTGCTCACCAGGTGTCGCTAGTTGACACTGAGATAAAGTTTTTTGTTACACAATGTCATTTAATTGAGAAGTTAGTTTTTAATAAAAGTTTATCAGTTTCTAGAGTAATATATTAATAAACAAAACAATAAATCAGTGGTTTGGTCTTTACTATCTTTGCACATTTTTAACTTTTTATTTTTTATTTTTCTACTTTTATGAACATCTGTGGTTTGATTTATTTATTTTTATTCTTATTAATAGAAAATATAGGTAATAGTACAGAAAGAAACAATAACTTTTACATTTTCTGAACAAATTAACTTCCCCGCTATTAAATCTGTCAAATATGTGTATTATACCTCACTTTAGTGGCACCGCCCTGGTGGCAGAAAAAGTCGTGAAGGCCCTCATTGCCGGTTTATACATAGAATTGTTTGTTCTAAGGATCACTTTTGACATTATTTAATGATTTTTTTATTGTTTAGAATATGCCCTATGTATAATGAGATACTTTTTGGAATTACCAAATGATGTATACAAAACATTTTCAGATTCATGCCTGACAACAACCTGCGCCAAATCAAATCGGATGGTTTATTCGGACGACTGCCAGACCTCAACAAACTGGACTTCCGTAATAATGGTTTGTCTATTTATTTATTTATTTAATATCTTTATTACACAGAAACTGTTCATAAACTCATTGAGTTATATGCACTACGTACTAGAGAAGCCATTCCGAACATTGACTATGTTCAACTGAACTGTAGTGCAATCCCTACAAACTAAATATTGCGTAAATTGAAGATTTGTGAATTCCATAAAATAATTATTATTATTACATTTTATTTAGAAATATAATATGTTTGTTTAGATTAAATTAAGATATTTTATATTAAATTCTTATATTCATTTTATATTAATATCTTATTTTATATCAAATTAAAGTCTTCGCGCATGCGCGACTGCTACTCCCGCGCATGCGCGAAGACATAGACTAGGACACAATTTTTGTTTGGAATTCCTTCTCTAGTACGTAGTACATATAACTCAATGTTGTACATATTATGTTGATTAAATTTAATCACAGAGTAGCTACAGTAGAGGTTTTTACCCTTCTTTCTTTTGTTCTTTGGTTATGGACTTGTACTATTGTACTTTTGCCAGTAGCTAGTAAAAAGAAATTATCCTTTATATAGTTAACTTCTTCATAAAATGTTGATGCGTCACATAACGAAATTTAAGGGAGATTTTGATGGTAGCTTGAGCCAGTAGATATTTGATAGCGATAGTATCTTAAGGCGTCTAAGCAGACATATTATCTTGAGGTTCACATCACCATCGAAGCAGTTGTTCAAATTTCATTTCTAACTATTACTTAAACATTAATACGGGTGCAGCAATCCGCAAGTTTCCGCCAAACTCCATTTTTATCCTTCATTCACAACTAAGAGACCTACAATATGGTAGATAGTTTATCAAAGAATATAAACTGCGATTTCAAAAGCTATATAGATGGTGCTTCCCGTCTTACTCATTTCCTGTTTTCCCTAATTGCAGGTATAACAGAGATAGAAGACAACGCATTCGACGGCGCCGCTAACATGCTAGAACTCCTGCTTGATGGGAACCTGCTCGCTACAGTGACAGATAAAATGTTTTTCGGTCTGCACAGCTTAACTACGCTGTAAGTAATTTTCGTAATACCTTATCACAGGACAAAATGATAAATAACATTAAGAATTATGTATAATCTATATTGAATAAAATTATTCTATATACTTCTCTATTCTACTTATTAATTTAACAAACGCACATCATTGAAGAATATAAAATGATACATGTCCAAAATAATTAACAATATTTTTTTATGGGAGAGGGGGCAAACGAATATGCGGCTCACCTGATGGTAAGTAACTACCGCCGCCCATGAACAACTGCAACACCAGGGGAACTTGGGAAATTGCAGATGCGTTGCCAGCCTTTTAAAAAGGAGTAGGCTCTTTTCTTGAAGGTCCATAAGTCGTATCGGTCCGGAAAGATCGCCGGTGGTAATCGATTCCACAAGGAAGTTGTGCGAGGAAGAAAACATCTTCTAAATCGCACAGTGGCAGACCGCCAATCATCCAGATGGTGTGGATGGTATCGGGAGTTCTGCCGCGATGTGCGTTCGTGAAATTTGGCGGCTGGGATTAATCCGAACGATTCTTCAAAGCACCCCCCTTGGTAAATGCGAAAGAAAATGCAAAGGGATGCAACATCTCTTCGCAGCGCCAATGAATCGAGCCGATCGGAAAGGACTCGGCCGTCGACGATTCGAGCCGCTCTGCGCTGGATGCGGTCAAGTGGAAGGAGCTGGAACTGGAGTGCCCCGGCCCAGAGATGGGAACAGTATTCCATGTGAGTCCGAACCTGCGCCTTGTAAAGTTGCAGGCGTTGTGCCGGCATGAAATACTGTCCCGCTCTGCTGAGCACGCCAAGCTTTTTAGAGGCCAATTTGGCCTTCCCTTCCAAGTGACCACGAAACTGCACGTCACTCGATATGTCGACTCCGAGGATACCGATACTGGCTGAGGCAAGAAGGGGAGTGCCTTGAAACTGAGGAGATACGACAAAGGGGTTCTTTTTAGCGGTAAACGCGCAAACTTGTGTCTTCTGAGGATTAAATTGGACTAGATTTAGTCGCCCCCAATCCGAGACTTTGTTCAGCAAAGACTCGACTTCAGACACAAGTTTGTTCCGGTACTCAGCGAAGTTTTCCCGAGAAATATTGGCACGGCCGGTGTATAGAGCATCACCAGTGCTGTCATCCGCATAGCAATGAATGTTACCAGTTAGCAACATATCATTGATATGCAGAAGAAACAGCGTTGGTGATAGCACACAGCCTTGTGGAACACCAGCGTTAATAGGCTTGTAGTCAGAGCATGCACCGTCTACAACGACCTTGATGCTCCGTTCTGCAAGGAAGCTGGTGATCCAATTGCACAATTTCTCGGGAAGCCCATAGGAAGGGAGCTTCGAAAGAAGCGCTTTGTGCCAAACCCGATCGAAGGCCTTCGCAATGTCCAGACTAACGGCCAACGCATCCCCCTTGGACTCTACTGCCTCCGCCCATCTATGGGTCAGGTAGACCAGAAGATCACCAGCTGATCGACCCCGACGAAAACCGTATTGGCGCTCACTAATCAGCTGGCGATCCTCAAGGTACCGGATGAGCTGGCAGTTAATAATGGATTCCATTATTTTGGAGAACAAGGAGGTGATCGCGATAGGCCTATAGTTGGATGGGTCTGAGCGGTCGCCTTTTTTAGGGATCGGGTGGACAAAAGCTGTCTTCCATGAATTCGGGACTACGCCTTGGGAGTAGGAGTACCGGAAAAGACGCGTTAGGACCGGTGCTAACTCCGGAGCACACGTCCTCAGCACAATTGGGGGGATTCCGTCAGGCCCACTCGACTTCTGGATGTCCAGGGAGAGCAGTGCTTTGCGAACCGAGCGCTGTGAGAACAGCACATCCGGCATGGAGCACTCACACCGCGGGAGGATGGTCGGCGGTGTTTTCCCCCCGTCATCAAGAGTCGAGTTGGACGCAAAAAGGGACCCTAAAAGGTCGGCTTTGTCTTTTGCGTCATGGGCCAGTGAGTCATCCTCCCTGTGCAGAGATGGTAGTGATGGCTTACAGAAATTCCCTTGGACAGCTTTAGCGAGAGACCAGAATGCTCGGGTTCCCGAAGAAAGGCGAACTAGTTTCTCGCCAATTCTGCCTATTTGCTCCGACTTTGCCTTGGCAATAACTCTCTTGAAGGACCTGGAGGCGAAGGTATACTTCTTTTTAAGCATGCTGGTGTTACATCCCGAGTCGCCGAAGCCGCAGCCCAGGCTTGATAACACAATAATAAAAGTACACAAAAATATTGAGAAATTAATAAATATGGACCATGAAGAAAACAATTAAGTGAAACACAAATTCAAAAAGAACCAAGCTGCAGCTATTACGCTTACAGCCACTGAGGACAGCAGCAGTAACTTGAATTCTTTCACAACTTACCACCGTACATTTTACCCATACATTCACTTGGTCTTTCGAGCCAGATTTTGGTGACGAATAGAGTAAGAGTTAGTACATACCATCTCATGCACCTCAACAATTTGTTCATCTACGCACAGCTGATTTATTAACAATGTTTACTTATCTTCCAGGTCTTTAGCCGACAATAAAATTACATGCATCACGCCGGGGGCGTTTGATCATCTGAACATGCTGTCCACACTGTAAGTCCGCATTATTTCTATCACTATCTGTCCGTCTCTGTCTTTGTTATTTTTTTATATAGGATAAGGTGGCAAACGAACACACAGCCGACCGGATGGTAAGTGGTTGCTGTAATCTATATTGAATCCTCAATAAATAATCAAAATGCAGATGCGTTGTCACGCGTGAGAACTAAGATGGAATGCCTCTTTGCCAGTAAAAAGGGTCTCCGGTTCTCTACACTCACCATACGAAACAAAGCAGTGTTAAGCTGCTATTTCACGCTGTGAGAGCGTGGTCCTTCCCCGGTCGAGCCGTTCATTTCGTGTTACAACTATACTACTAATATAGCTGCAGCATGGCTCTACCATGTATAAATTGTTTCTTTCTCTTTCTTTCCTTCTTAGTCCTCATAGTCTTGTGTATTTCGTAATTTGTTGATAATTGAAATTATATGATATTTAATAAAGAAGTTAATTTGGGATATACATTATATATGTACCTCTGTTAGTTTTGCTAAATAAATCTTATCCATTTCATCCATTGGATCCAAGTCCAGCAGTGAACTTCTGCTTTCAAAAATAATCCAGAAGGTGTCGTTGCGGTAGTATTTTCATCCATCCATTACAGCCTATAAATATCCACTGCTAATGTAGGCCACTCCCATAGATTGCGTCATTGGGAAGATGTTGCCATAGCTTCCACGCTTGGCGGAAGGGTTGGCAACCGCAGTTTTTTTTGGGTTGTTATCGGAAAGACGTTGCTGCCCATCTTCTGTTTAAGTTTCCCTCTGTCGCCTCTTACGACACACAAGGGACGATATCTGGTAGTGGATATTCTTTTTTTTATAGGATTGGGGTTGACAAACGAGCACACAGTCCACCTTATGGTAAGTGGTTACTGTAGTCCTACATCTATCCTCCATTACGAATTAAAATGCAGATGTGTTGTCACCCGTGAGGACTAAGATGGAATGCCTCGTTTCCAATAAAAAGGCTCTCCGGTTCTCTACACTCACCATACAAAACACAGCAGCGTTAAGCTGCTATTTGGCGCTGGTATTCAGTGAGAGCGTGGTCCTTCCCCGGTCGAGCCGACCCATTCGTGCTACAACCATACCAGTAATATAGCTGCAGCATGGCTCTACAACGTAAGACATCTTACATCGCCACTACACAGTATGGTGGTCGTATTTACCCAAGAGAAAATTCCAACCTTTAATATCAAAAATGGGCGTGATTATAGTAAATTAATTACTTCTTCTACCCACAGGACACTATCAGACAATCCCCTGCACTGCAGTTGCCACGTAGGCTGGCTAGCTGGCTGGCTGAGAAACCGTAGACTTGCTCCGGAAGCCAGTTGCGCAACACCAGCCTCACTGCGCGGTGCAAACTTGCTTAATTTGGAGCAGACTGACTTCAAGTGCACTCGTAAGTATGATTACCATGAAAGTCGATAATCCAACCCATGGATAACTAGGCTTTAGTTGAGTTGCCGCGGTCAGCGCGGCGGGTTCGAATCCTGCACGGAATAGTTATTTGTATGGCCTACAAATAATTGTTATATGCTTAAAAGTAGATTTTTTTTAAATAGTTAATAATATGCAATAAATTAAAGAGACATTGTTTTTGTATTAATATAATACTCTAAAAATTGATAAATTTTTAATTAAAACTAACATCTCAATGAAGGTATTCACGACTTATTCTGGCGCCAGGGCGTTGCCACTAAAGTGAGGTATAATATTTGACAGATTTCATAGCGGGGAAGTTTATTTGTTTGAAAAATGTAAAGGTTAATGTTTCTTTGTGTACTATTAGCTATATTTTACATTAATTAGATTAAAAATAAATAAACCAAACCACAGATATTCACAAAAGTAGAAAAATAAAAAAAGTTAAAAATGTGCAAAAAATTAAAGAGCAAACCACTGGAGCATTGTTTTGTGTATTAATAGAAACTGATAAACTTTTATTAAAAACTAACTTCTCAATAAAATGACATTGTAACATAAAACTTTACCTCAGTGTCAACTACCGACATCTGGTGAGCAGAAAATTATTAGCCCTATTATGTACCCTAAAACCTGACAACTTTGCCATTTTTGAAAGGACTTAAAAGTTTATGGCAAATTTTCGAAAAATAATGTACTGTCGGATTGGGCGTCAATGTTAAATCTGGAATTATATTCTTCACAGATTTGGTATTTATTAATGATTTAATGGCGAGTACATCACTCACCTTCGATTTGCCGACGATATAGTCCTTATGGCAGAATCGCTGGAGGGCCTAAGCACTATGCTCAATGACCTCAATAGTGTTTCCCAACGGATAGGTCTTAAGATGAACATAGACAAAACAAAGATCATGTTTAATGTCCATGTCACACCTATGCCGGTAGTTGTTGGGAGCACTAAGCTCGAAGTTGTTGACGAGTATGTTTACCTGGGACAAATAGTCCGACTAGGTAAGTCCAACTTCGACCGAGAGGTCAATCGACGGATTCAACTCGGCTGGGCAGCGTTCGGGAAGCTACGACACATCTTCTCGTCAGACATACCTCAACAACCAGTGCGTGTTGCCAGTAATGACTTACGGAACTGAGACGTGGTCCTTCACTGCTGGCCGTATGAGGAAGCTCAAGGTCGCTCAGCGAGCTATGGAGAGGGCTATGCTCGGAGTTTCTCTGCGTGATAAACTTAGGAATGAGGACATCCGCAGTAGAACCAGAATAACCGACATAGCCCAACGGATTAGTAAGCTGAAGTGGCAGTGGGCCGGCCATATAGTTCGAATAACCGACAACCGATGGGGAAGAAAGGTTCTCGAGTGGCAGCCTCGTACCGGTAGGCGAAGTGTAGGGCGTCCCCCCACGAGATGGAGTGACGACCTGGTAAGACATGCAGGAAGTCGATGGATGCAGGTGGCTCAGGAACGTGCTTTGTGGCATTCTTTGGGGGAGGCCTATGTTCAGTTATGCGGATATACTCATTTCTAAGTTTATCACGCAGAGAAACTCCGAGCATAGTCATCTCCATAGTTCGCTGAGCAACCTTGAGCTTCCTCATGTGTCCAGCAGTGAAGGACCACGTCTCAGATCCGTAAGTCATCACTGGCAACACACACTGGTTGTTGAGGTATGTCTGACGAGAAGATGTGTCGTAGTTTCCCGAACGCTGTCCAGCCGAGTTGAATCCGTCGATTGACCTCTCGGTCGAAGTGACTAGCAGAATGGCTCTCCAGCACCTTAAAAACGGCAAGGCACCAGGCGAGGATGGAATTACACCGGAGCTTCTGAAAGCGGGTGGAAGACCGGTACTTGAAGTCCTTCAGAAGCTCCTTAATTCCGTCCTTCATGGTGGCATTACACCGGAGGCGTGGAGCAGAAGTGCGGCGGTCTTGTTCTTCAAGAAAGGTGACAACGCTCTCTTGAAGAACTACAGACCGATTTCCCTTCTGAGTCACGTCTACGTGCTGTTTTCGAGAGTCATTACGAATCGTCTTGCGCGCAGACTTGACGACTTCCAGCCTCCCGAACAAGCCGGTTTCCGAAAGGGCTTTAGCACCATAGACCACATACATCCCCTTCGGCAAATTGTACAGAAGTCCGAGGAGTACAATTTGCCACTATGTCTGGCGTATGTCGACTATGAGAAAGCCTTTGATTCCGTCGAAATTTGGGCGGTGCTGCAGTCCCTTCAGCGGTGCCAAGTCGACTGTCGGTGTATCGAAGTGCTGAAGTGTTTGTACAGTAGAGCTACGATGCCTATCCGAGTACAGAACCAGAGTACGAAACCTATCCAATTGCAGAGAGGTGTAAGACAGGGTGATGTTATATCCCCGAAACTCTTCACCGCTGCATTGGAAGACGTTTTCAAGCTTCTGGACTGGAAAGGACACGGTATTAACATCAATGGCGAGTACATCACTCACCTTCGATTTACCGACGATATAATCCTTATGGCAGAATCGCTGGAGGACCTAAGCACCATGTTCAATGACCTCAATAGTGTCTCCCAACGAATAGATCTTAGGATGAACATGGACAAAACAAAAGTCATGTGTAACGTCCATGTCACACTTATGCCAGTAATTGTTGGGAGCACTAAGCTCGAAGTTGTTGACGAGTACGTTTACCTGGGAAAAATAGTCCGACTAGGTAAATCCAACTTCGACCGAGAGGTCTATCGACGGACTCAACTTGGCTGGGTACCGTTTGGGAAATTACTGCATATCTTCTCGTCAGGTATACCTCAAAACTTAAAAACTGGACTGTACAACCAGTGCGTGTTGCCAGTGATGACGTATGGAACTGAAACGCGGTCCTTCACTGCTGGCCATATGAGGAAGCTCAAGGTCGCACAGCGAGCTATGGAGATGACTATGCTCGGAGTTTCTCTGCGTGATAAACTTAGAAATGAGTATATCCGCAGTAGAACCAGAGTAACCGACATAGCCCAACGGATTAGTAAGCTGAAGTGGCAGTGGGCCGGCCATATAGCTCGCAGAACCGACAACCGATGGGGAAAAAAGAATCTCGAGTGGCGACCTCGTATCGGCGGACGAAGTATAGGGCGTTGCCTCCACTAGATGGAGTGACTATGTTCAGCAGTGGACTTGTAAAGGGCTATAATGATGATGATGATGACAGAAATTAATGCCACAGTCGTTTACTCTTTAATTTTTTTCACAGTTTTAACACCTTTTTTCTACTTTTATGTATATCTGTGGTTTGGTTTATTTATTGATAATCAAATTAATAACTAAATTAAATAAAACTAATAGTATAGAAAGAAACGTTAACTTTTACATTTTTCAACAAATTACCTTCCCCACTATGAAATCTGTCATATATCATCTATCAAATTTTTAAGTGGCGCCGCCCTGGTGGCAGAAAAAGTCGTGAATGCCCTCCTATCGTACAGCCTCTAGATACTCCCTTAACCAGAACACAGGTGTAGGTGCACAATTACCAGGACTACAGAAATAGCTAAGAGACTAACTAGTGACCCAATTGGATCGAACAAAGTTGAATTCTGTATTAATTGTCGATAATCAATAAAAACTGCCGACAGAAGTGAAAACTCTATTATATATGTGTATACATGTACATAGGCCGCTATACTACATGACTAGTGACGCGTAGTAGACATTGTAGGTCGGTGACAAAACATGTCGAGGTCATCGGTGACGTGGACCCATTAGTTTTCCCCCAGCAAAAATCACTCAACGCAGCTATAGAAGTTTTCACTTTGATACGTGTTTTCCCCAGTTGAGGGCAAGACCTGCCTATCACCAGAGTAGCCTGAACTAGTTCCCTTAACTGTACCAAGTGGGTGCACCTTCACCAGTACTACAGAAATATCTAGAAGGATGTTACAAACTACTATACCGGTTGGATCCGGAGACAGAGTTGTCGATCATCAAATATATATTTTCCCCAGCTGAGGACAAGGGCTGCCTATCACCAGAGTACTGCCCGACACCCTGCACTTGTACGGGAACCATAGTGAGGTGTGCGCGTGCGCAACTCACCACACTACCAACGAACATACCACGTCAGACCACTGAACTGTAAGTGATTTTAGCCGCAGCCGCATATTACTAATTACTGTCACTGATATTGCATACTACTAACTACTTTGTGTTATGTTTTATTAGACTCAAATAGCCTAATCATATGAGTAAGTATCAGAGTACAGAGTATATATATATATATATATATATATATATAAACGTCCGATTATTGTTATAATAGACACTTCCTAAATTTAAATACATTAACTAGGCTTAGGTCTCATTTTAAGTATATCTTTATCATATTGTTACGACCTTGGGGTTTGAGACAATTAAAAACTGCCGAGTAAATTACCAAAATTGACACTTTAATTACGGAACACTAATTACAACTCAAAACCACACTAATAACAAAACACAATTGATCACACAATGAAACACACTGATCACTTTAGTTCGCAGTTGTATCGCTTCGAAGTATTCGCTTGTATCGCCAATTCAATACTGACTCGGTCGTGGTCTATACCGACCTCAGATAATTTCAAGAACCTTCTAATGTAGAAACATCTAGAATGTTGGAGTACATACCGGGTCCCGACTGACTAAGTCGATAGTTATAGAAAGTTCTTCCACGGAAAGTTCTAGAAGGATCTTGCCTCTCCTAGTTCTGCTAATGGATACTAGAGTGCGCTAATGGTAACTAGTGTTACCATGTACCAGGCATGAATGGTGGCGCTCAACAATACGTATCTGTAAAATCGAAGTTCACAGTCTAACTACTACTAACAGTCGGTCATGGAAGGCGGCCAATCGTGCGGTACGGTGCGGGATGAGACGCGAGCGGAGCGCTCCCGAGCGGCCATTAGTCGCTCGGGAACTGTCCACTAGGGTTGTCCTGTCTCGCAAATAAATTGAAATGGTTCTCACTTCAAATGCGGTAAAAAACTGTGGCTCGTATTCATTTAAATATAAGGAATTAAATTTATTATAACCTATTTTTATTAATTCTGAACACTCATTGTCTGATTAAGTTATTCAATTTGTTTAAACGTGTTACGGCCCTCAGCTGCCCCGACAAAAGTCGACTGGGCTAGGGCCCATAGTAGCCTCGTCGTCGAGCAGAACCCAAAACAAGCGACACACTGCACAACTCAAGAACGGTCGGTCAAAGTTCAATGTTCCATGTTCACTTAGCAACAAATTATAATCGAGCAGAAACGCGATCTTCTCTCGAGTCACAAATTTTTAGCGTTCCACTCGACCAAGCCAATGTCTTATTACGATATCAAAATGACACACAAACAACTCGTCGATGCAAATTAATTGCAATAGAAGTTAATTTAATCACTCAACACTCAAGATAGGCCTCGTTGTGTGTAAAACGCTCAAACAGACAACTCAATTCGAGGCGGTCTTAACGAGACCCAAATATTCGATAGTAAATTCCGTCTTATCGCCACTGCGGCGGACGCGCACAATTCTTGACACCGGCCGCGCCCAACTTACTCACCTCGCCCACGCGTCAGGCTACCGAGCGCTCGGCCGAGAGACCCGCACGGGAGAGGGGGCCGACGGTGACCTTCAAATTCCATCGGAAGGACACGCCGACGCGTATCCCGAATACAAGACCTTAAAATGTTAATTATTTGGCCTAAACAAAACGTGAAATAAAATAATATCAGTTTTTTTTATTATATTATTACTTCCCGTTGTGACAACCCTATCAATTAATTGTTGATGTCGGCTTTTCCGCAAACATCAAACGCGATGACTGACTGTTTGTTCTTCTTAGGCTGTGCGAAGGTCCTAGGTCTTAATATCTAATCTACTATAAGTCTATTTTGCCTCTTACTACGGCCCTTTACATGATGAAAAGGAAGAAATAAACCACGTATAAAAAATGCGTCAGTGTCGTGGAACACTCCGTTGGAACGAAGTTCCTTGCGTAGTATGTTATTATTGATACACGTAGGTATTATATTATTGATTAACAAATACAAATAAATGAATTACTATTATCGTCTATTAAAATGAAGCGTCATTTGAAATAAAATAATATTTCTTTCAAGGCAAGATAAGAAAAAGTGCGAGGGAGATGGATATTATTCCATCTCACTTCCTTATCTCGCCGCCAAGGCCATCTACACTATGACACAAGGGGTAGTGACGAAAAAATCTTACACTTTTTGTCGCCTAGCTCCCGCCAAACCCGTACCGTCCGATAACAAACTTGGTTCTAAAAGTATTCAACAAAATCACTATGTTTACCATATGTTCCACCACTGAGTACTCTCCAATCATTTTTGTAGCTTGAAGACTACAAATGCTTTGTCACTTTTAACGACTAAGATGGAATGCCTCATAGCCTGTAATTGTGCTGACTCTCTATACGGTTCAGACCGAAACAATGCAGTACTGCTTGGCAGCAGAAATAGCTAAAAGGGTAGTAGAGATCGTCTAACTTTTTTTTTTAAAACTTTTTTCATCTTCCTGATCGTAAGTGGATACTGTGGTCCATAGACATCTATGTCTATCCACAATTAAGAATCAAAATACATATGCACTGTCACCCCTGGATGGAATGCCTCGCTTTCAGTCAAAAGGGTATCCGGTTCTCTACACTCACTATACGAAACACAGCAGCATAAGCTACTATTCCACACTGGTATTCTGTGAGAACGTGATGCCTGCCCGAACGAATCAACCCATTCGTGTTCCAACTATAATATAGCTACAGCATTACTCAACCACGTTATAACGAAATATAAATAAAATAATTCTCACATAACAGCTTCAGAAGTAATGTTTTTAATTATTTTAAACAATGTGTTTTACTATGACTTCTGAAGCTATTTCATGAAAATTATTTTTTTCTTTTCAGTTCTTTGAAGTCAGATTTTACCTTTTATTAATAGTTTAATATTTACGTAATGTTATCTATAAACTATTGGTCCTCTTGCACCCCCTTTTAGATACTTGGAATCGAACGACATAACGAGCATCGAACCTGAACAAATTCGTCATTTGACCCAACTAACGCGCCTGGACGTGTCCAACAACAAGATCACTGTCCTCTACAACGATACGTTCGAAGGTCTGACCAAACTGTCGACCCTCATCGTCAGCTACAACCGGCTGACATGTGTACAGGTATGTAATACCATATTTTTACAACCATGACTACTGCAACTCATGAGTAGAATAGTATAGATTAGAATTTTTTTTAATAAAGATTTTTGGTGTAATGTAGGAAAGTGTCAAAGAGAAGAGAGCCATGTTACTCTTGTTATAACTTTAATTAAACTACTTTTTTATTGCAAACTTACTCTAATTATACCTATTGTCGTGGATGCTTCACGTCACTACATTGGCTTGGATGCTTGTCCTTTAAGCCATCTCTTCATTGCGTTCGGGATCTTCGTTATAGAATAGAATAATTTATCATGCAATACAGATTATTAAAAAATTTTGTTTTATTTATGTATGTTGATTTTTATTCGACGATAGTCGAAGGTTCAAATGGGCAACAGCAATCACTTGTTATCAGGTGGACTGTGTGCTCGTTTGTCCCGTTTATTTTACTAAGAAATATGTATGTATTACTATTACGTATGTTGTGCTTCTAGTCAGAGAAAAGCTCTACCATGTAAAATAGCGTCTAAAGATGTTTTATCAATCCTGGGTGACTTGGATAGAACTCCTCAAAGCCTCTGTACTGGTTTTTCGTAAGTTATTCTGCGCTGTTCATAGTCGCAGTTTTGTTAGAGAAAATTATCATCAATTATAATAAAATGTATGTAGGTGCGTTTAGTATTAATATGTTTTTTATTTTGTTAAAGAACTAGTGTATTGATTTTAATGAAAACTTGATCAACTGTTCATCATGTAATTACGCGACGAAAAAAATAGTTTTGAATCGACATCATCTTTTGTTCGTAGAGATATATGAGACTTAAAGTTGGCTAACGTATAACACAGAGACCCAAACAGCCTTTTAAAAACAATAGAGTGAGTTGAGATCTATACTTACGAAAATCTCACCTGTACTAGATGAGTAACAAATATTCAAATTCAAATTTCATTTATTTATTTACAAGAATGTAGTTACAAAAAAGGTGTTGTTGCAATATTAAGGCGCTAATACATTCTACCCACTATTTGGGTGTGCAAATATTTAAATGGAAATAAGTTAATTAAATTACACTACACCAACACTACACAGATTCTTCGCGTCACTATTGTTAAACGTCACTAATTCCTTCACAGATTCCGCAATGTAATAAGTTCTTGAATATCATAAAATTGTTTCTCCATTAACCATTTCGTCAGTTTCTTCTTGAATATATTTACTGGGAGATTCTTAAAGTTATCCGGTATTTTATTATATATTGTAATAGTCATAAATATCACACTATTTTTTGCTTGATTTATTCTACATGTTGGAAAGTGCAGTTTATTTTGATACCTCGTTAACATATGCGAATTTACTTCTCCTTTCTTTTTAAAATATTCTGGGTGGTATTTAACAAATAAACATACTTCTCTTATATATATGCAGGTTAGTGTAAGGATACGTAATTTACCGAACATTGGTTTGCAACTGTCCCTTTGATGTAATCCGCACAAGGCCCGGATACATTTCTTTTGTGCTACAAATACTTTCCGCACCTCGCAAGACTGTCCCCAAAGAATTATTCCGTAAGAGAGTATCGACGATATATATGCATGGTAGGCATTTATTGCAGCATTCATAGATACAGTATCTCTTAGGCGACGTAATACGTAAACGAAACGATTTAACCTATTACAAGTATATTCAATATGACTGTCCCATTTTAGACCTTCGTCTACCAGAACACCTAAGAATTTATGGTGTTTTACCTGTTCGATTACTTGATCATTACATTTTATGTCTAGATTAATTTTGGTGCAATTCTTTGTATAATATTGAATTATTTTTGTTTTTACTAAGTTTATTTTCAGATTATTATTTTGTAACCATTTTACTATATTATGTAATGCTGTATTTATATCTCTCTCATATGTATTTTTGTCCGTGCATTTAATAATAATCGTCGTGTCGTCTGCAAATAAAACTGTTTTGTGTTTCACTGATCTCGGTAAATCGTTAATATATAAGAGGAATAAAAATGGACCGAGCACACTTCCTTGTGGTACACCTGATTTATTAACTTTTTTCTCTGACCTATATGAGTTTCGTGTTTGATTTATCATTTTATGAATCTCCACATACTGATATCTATCATTTAAGTAACTTGCGACCCATTCTTTAGCAATTCCTCTTATGCCATATTTCTCCAACTTAAACAAGAGTAATTGATGGCCCACAAAATCAAATGCTTTGCTCATATCTAAGAATATAGTGGCTGCTGGTTTTTTTTCAATAAAGGCTTGAATTATTTCTTTTACCATGTCGAAGCATGCTAAAGAAGTAGAACTATTTTTTCTAAATCCAAACTGTTCCCGACATAATATTTTGTTTTTATCAACATAATTTTGAAATCTTTCTAAAATTACCTTTTCAAATATCTTAGATAAAACTGGAATTAGTGCTATCGGTCTGTAGTTTTTAATATCATTTGGATCATCTTTTTTATATAACGGTTTTATAACTGATGTTTTTAGAACATGAGGTATTCACGGAAATCGAAAGTAAAAACAAATTTAATATTAGTGAACATGTTTCACAGTTGAAGAAGCAAGGTTCGTCGCTGTTAACGATGCCATTACTAAAGAAAAATTAGTGCCAACTTTAAGTAATTTAAATAAATACATAACCCATTACAACAGTACCCAAATAGAGAAGTCAAAATACGTAAGTAAACAAAATTAATTACTAATGCTCAAATGTATTTTTCTAGCGCGACGCCCTTAAAGGCTTGACACAGCTTCGCGTCCTCTCCCTACATGGAAACAACATATCTATGCTAGCGGATGGCGTCTTCAGAGACCTGGAATCAATTTCTCACGTGTGAGTAGACCTTTATTCATGACCTCAGTCTGCTTTGCCCTTCTTCACAGCATGAATCAACTGGTAAGTATCGGCTTTAAAACAAATTTAAAAAAAAATTCAGCTATCGGAGACTGCTGACATAAATGAAAACCTAAAACTATGAAATAAGAGTTTTTTTCTTTTCACATTAGTTGTAGTATCAAGTTATTCAACACCGAAAATAAAACGTAGTGGTAATATTATACTCTTTGAGCGGAAAATTGGAACAGCGTCATCATTTCCTGATTTTATTTTTAGCTTAGAGTAGGTAATAAGTGGTAATAACATAAACGCGTAATCAAGAAATATATATTATAATCACTATTTTCTTTTTGTTTACGCATAACTTTTGCTGCATGTCAAAATTTTAGCCTCAACGCCTAACTCTCAAAAGGGTGTGAAAAACATGCATTTATTAATAAACAATACAGGACAGGATAATAGTGCCCGAGTGTATGAACTAGCACAATTGTACACTCTATTTCCTTACACTAATAGTCCGATGAGACAGTTATCCGACACGACCGGAGGGAGATCATGGACAGGGCCAGTTGCTTTATGTTCTATTCGAGGTACCGGTGTGAAATAGTGTATATGTGTGAATTAAAATTATTAACATTAGTCTTGTTTTCACATCAAGGCACATTCTATCTATCAGCACCCCTAGCAACAATTATGTACATTTTATGTGGTTTATTTATTAATTAAAAAAATACGATAGCCCACTACAAATTATGAATTCAGCTTTAGTGAAATTCCTAAAGGAACTCCATCCGCAGCTGGTCGTTACTGCTGGTGATAAGAGCGCTGGTTCTTTTCTTGCTGAAAGGCTAAGTATACCACACGGGGAGTAGGACTATATGATAATTGAGTTTCTAGTTTCAGCTTAATTGACATAGTAATAATTAACATTGATAATTAATAGACGCCTCCGTGGTGCAGTGACTTAGCAACGAGTTGCAGCGCTAAGGGCCGCGGTTTCGAAGCCCGCACGGAACAAGTATTTGTATGGTCTACAAATAATCGTATTGGGTTTGGATATTTGTCCTTGTGAAATCTATGTATGTAAACTGCTCCTGCGATACAGGAGAAAATCCTAGTGCGGAGGTAACGTTTTATAAAAATTCAAAATTCAATAATTAATTAGGTCGAAATAGAATGGATGCAATCGGATAATACATGTTTTTTGCCATCCTTCAAATCGAGCCACAGAAGTTAAGAAGTGAAAAAAGATAAGGTGGCACCAACCCAGGCAACCAGGAATTCCTACCAACAAGGAATTATGGCCAAAAAAGATCTGATATGATGACTGAAAGTGCAATTACTCTCCTGTTATTGTTAAAGCAGTAACGGAGAACCTATTTTATACCTGAGCAATTTGGGATACGGCAACCCCACAGTACATGTGATAATAAGTAGCCTTTATTGTCCATAATATGTGTTTTATATGTGCCTGTATGTGGGTAAATGTGACGTTACCTTTCAATAGCTTAAATCTTAAGATAATTTGCCTAAAGCCATTGATTGTTTTTATAACCAGATTTCAATCTGGTTATCAATAAGAATACGGAAGTGTATCTGTATAACTATTGCCTTTTTATACACATTTGAGTAACAATAGTTAAAAAAGAAAAATCTTCTTTAATACGGATAGAGTTCATATGTGCATTGTCGGTGTCTCATAAGGCTCTATTCCAGGACCAATCTTTTCCATATATATTTCTCAGTTTTTTGTTTTCAGTTGGCATCTACTATTAATTTTTTTTTGTCACATATTACGACACTCACGGGACAATATCAGAGTGATCAAGAGTGCGGAAGTTTCATAAAAGCGTCTCGCAACGCTTTCACTGTGGGTCACCTACAGTAGCAAACATAGAACATAACGTGATGTTTAATACTGCCGCACGGGCATCGTGTTATTTCCCTGTCTGTTACTGTAGCCCCTCATGTGCACGGGCATTTTAGTTTTTACACGTCAAGTTTCAGGAACCGTGAGGGAGGTCGCCCTAATTTGACATACATCACAAAATCCTTCTAATCTAATGATGAATATAGGCATAAAATAGCATCAGTTAGTATAAATTACTATGAAGCTGCGCCTATGCTCATCGTGCTAGTTGTTACGAGTTGGTAAATGAAGTAGATATAATAGTAATATATAAAGACTAGTCTATTTTAAAAGAAAAGAAAAACAAAATTTGTTTAAATGTCACTAATTACTAAAGCATTTCTGCGCATCATTTCAGTGCTTTGGGTTCGAACCCACTGTACTGCGACTGCAACGCCCGCTGGCTGTCCGAATGGGTGAAGAACGCTGGGGAGTACGTGGAAGCTGGTATAGCTAGATGCGCTGAACCTGCTAGGATGAAAGACAAGCTAGTTTTGAGTACCCTTTCCAGTGCCTTCGTTTGTACCGGTAAGTACCAAGATATGGATAAAATTTCAGTTGGCGACCATATAGAACTTATATTCTAATAGCGCTCCGGGTTGTGGTAACATATCCACAAAATGTTTGAAATTGGCAATACCTTTATTAGTGCCGATAGTGTGTCACCTTCCTTAAACGTTCTATTATTACACCTGTACACAAGAATGGAAGCAGAGTTGATATAAATAGTTTTCATCTTATCATCTCTATCCAAAATCTTAGAACAATTAATTAATAACAGATTAATACGGTATTTAGATAAATATTATATTCTATCGCAAACACAGTATGGTTTTAGAAGTGGAAAATACACACAGAACGCTTTCGTAGATCTAACTACATATATAGTTGATCACCTAGACCAAAATAAAAAATGTCTTACTATATTTTGGACCTAAAAGCCATTTGACACCGTCTTTGTTTCCATGCTTGTTTGGAAGTTGGAAAAGATCGGTATAAAGGAAGCCTAACTAGAATTAATGAGAGATTATTTGAAAAACAGAACACAAAATATGAGAATAGGCAATTATGTTAATAATAATCTTCAAATAACCTTTGGAATGCCGCAAGGCAGTGTTCTAGGCCCTATCTTATTTCTCATTTATGTTAATGACCTCTGTAAATTAAAACTTGATAATGGTAATATTTATTCGCAATTGTAAATGCGGACGATACTGATATCGTTTTGACGGTTAAATTGTGGGATAATTGTGGGATAAAGTCTACGACACAGCAGAATTTGGGCTGTTCAAAATTGCGAATTGGCTCTAAGTATAAACAATATATATATGGTTTCCCATTAACAAACGGTCATAAACTATTAAATCAAATATATGCTGCACTAACCCAAATGATTTTAACATATAACAGTTTGAGGTGGTGCTATGAAAAAGAAATTCCTACGACTGGAACGTGGTCAACTATCATTAACAAAGGTCATGTACAATAAATCATATAGATTCCCTACAGAAGAACTTTACTCAGTTAGTAGTTTACTAAGTGTTAGAAAGTTATACATTTTAAATAACTTATTACGTCTGCAAAAGTAGTAATAGAAGAGGAAAGTCTTTTGATTTAACTCTAGTCGATATTGCTAGTTATTAAAATTAAAAGACAGGCTGGTTATTTATACAATGTAGTCAACAATAAACTAAATATTTATTCACTGAACCCTAATGAGTTCAAAAAGACAGTTACTGAATGGCTCCTCAAACTTAAATAATATGACGATATCGAGGCATTATTAAAAGCTATTAAATAAATTTTCCATACGCACACAAACACATGCATGCGTACTTATACACACGCAAACACACACACACACACACACACACACACACACACACACACACACACACACTAAGCTTAGTTTCTTGTATTTCCTTTATTAATTCATTTTCTGTTTATTTCATTCTTGCTGTAGAAGAACGGGGTATCCTGCCACAAGTATATATTTACTTAAAAGGATATCCCACCTACTCCCAGACCTATATAATGTATGATATTTTTAAAGAAATAAACAATTTTTCATTCTCATTTTTATTATTTATATTGAATATTATTAATTTATATATGGTAAAGCCCTGCTGCTACCATACTACAGTAGTAGTAGGTCGGCTGACCAAGGAAGGAGCACGCTTTCACAAAATACCAGTGTGAAATAGCAGCTCAATGCTGCTGTGTTGGATCGGTCGGTCAATTTGGAAACAGCATGGTAGCGATCACCATTACCTCATTTTCAATCATTCGTTGATTAAGTTATTTGTTCATTAATTCCGTTACCATTACAGCTTATTAAAGTTCACTGATGAACATAGACTTTCTTTTTTGCTACCCTCTGTCCACTCTTACACCCAAGGAATGATAATGAATAGTTTTACACCGCAAATACATGTTTAGAACAGGCATGATAGCGATCACCTCATCCTCAGGTATTATTAGTTGAGTCATTCATTTATTTATACGTTCATTCATTAGTTGGTAATGATAATTCATCAATACCAACATTAATCATTATCATCATCATTACAGCCCTTCACAAATCCACTGCAGAACAGGCAAGGCATTTATTGACTTTCTGTATATCTTACTAGTTCGTCACTTCATTTAGTGGGGGGACGCGCTACACTTTGCCTGCTGGTACGACGATGCCACTTAAGAACCTTTTTTCCAATCGATTGTCGGTTCTTCGAGCTATATGGCCAGCCTATAGCTTACTAATTCATTGGCTATGTTGGTTATTCTGATTTGATTAATATCTAATATCTTTATAATAAAGATAATAATACCATTAAGGTGTTACGGTCTCCAATATTTTTTACAGTACAGTTCTACAGTAGAATGCAAAATAAAATATTTGAGTTATTTGAGTAGTACTCATCAACATCATTCACATTGCATTGCACTGCATTATATATTTGCATAGTTTCGTACACATTCTTTGGTCCTTCGAGCCGGATTTGAAGCAGTGACTTATGGACTCATGTGTGGAAATTGCTTCGGCCGCAGAGGATCCGCCGGAAGACGTGGTGGCGAAGTGCGAGCGCTGCCGGCGCAGCCCGTGCCTGCACGGCGGCACGTGCGCGGCGACGCGCGGCGGCGTGCGCTGCGCGTGCGCGCGCGGCTTCCACGGCGAGCGCTGCCAGCACCGCATCGACGCCTGCTACGGCGCGCCCTGCCTGCACGGAGCCTGCGCGCTGCTCGAGGAGGGCCGCTTCCAGTCAGTCAATACTCCACTCCACACACACACACACACACACACACTGTTTCATTTCACAAGTTAACTATGTATACATACTATATAATTGTCTGTCTGTAATAGTTAAATAACTTAGCTCACGGTGTTATTTGCATGACATAAATAACCATTGTTTTAGAATTTGTCTGTATACATGTCTGCGATGTGATTGTGATATTCACATCACAGACAGGTATACAGACAGGGATACCTGTTCGATATTACAGACGGTGCTATTAGAGAGAGGCGTGTTGAGCTCTCTATGTTTTTAATTATACTACTATGATGTGTAGAGTAGAAGGAGGACCATCTCTGTATATGAAAAGTGTCCCTAAAAACGCGTCCAATAAGGGTGGCGTTGCAGTAGCATAGGATAAATAAAAAAAAGCGCCAAAATTTATTAGAATAAGATGGAGAAATAAACAAGGACCGACAAATCCGCTTGGTTTTGTACTACGTAAATAGTTGAAGTTTTGTATACTGGCATTTTACTAACTACTCTAGTCATGAAATTTTTTAAATATTTGAATTCAGCTGACTTCACTCCGTCTACAACAGCTATATTCATATCGTAGTTTTTCAGACGACAGCGCTATTGTGGTAGGTTTTGGAACCTCTATTTTCAGTATATATTAGGACACTTTTTCAACTTTCGCACCTTATAAGAGGGTTCTCCTTCTACTCTACACTCCATATATACTACCCTTATTGTAGTTTAATACGAATTTCAATCAATATTTGTTCTACAAAATGTCATTACTTAGAGAATGAAGTAGATGGCGCTATTATAAATCAATTTTACTTAAAAGAAAATATTCTTTAGATTTATTACACTATTGCCAAACTTCCTTGTCTTGTTTGACTGTAATAAAATTTAAAGACTCTAAAGTAATTCTCAATTATCAAGGGATAGGATTTGCGCGCGGAATTTCTTGCGATTTATATTATATTTTCATTGATTCAATTTGCAATATTTCTAGTATGTATTTGATCCAATATAATACAATGTATTGTAATTTATTGTAAGTATAGTAATTAATTATTCAAAATACTCAATTTTGTTTTCGGTGGTATTAGAAACGCAAGTTGGCCCGTGGTTTCAAATCTAGTTACAATACTAATTACCTACGTCATACGTGTCGATGTTGAGTACAAAACTACAAGTTTTGTTTGAATATTTTTTCAACAATAAATAAAATTATAAATCGGTAAGCCACCAAAGTAGTCACAAAATTAATTATACAAACATTTGCAAAATATAGTTTTGCGGAGTTACGTGAAAATACCTATTACGTATTTTGCAAACAGTTTCAGACACACACATATTATTATTAATTTGTTTTATTTTGTTGTTGTACCAAGCTCAAAGTCGCTTCGTATCGTACACTACGCGTACAACCCAAGTTCGAGCCCTGCCGGCACCGATGAATTTTTTAATTGCACTGCGGCGGACATTTTCTTTTCTTGCCCTAAAACTAATCTAATAAAAAAATAAGCAACAAGTCAAATGATTTTTGTTTTACTAAAAGCTTTTGTACTTACTTGTTTTAATCATTAATTTCAATAGTGTAAGGTTATAAAATAAAACTGCGTTTTATTGTTCTTAGTGTTGAGATAATTTATTTTCCAAGATTATTATTGAATTAAATAGTTTATTTACGCCTACAAATATAAGTTAAAAAAGTTAAAGATACAGCCTACATACATACGTCCCACTGCTTGGCACAGGCTTCCTCTTATTTCTGAAAGGGTTGAGGAGCAAGGAAGTGTCCGCCGCGCTGCCCCAATGCGTGTTGGCGAACTTCACATATCTTCGAAATATATTTTTTTTCTTATTTGTCAGACAAGGTTTCCTCACGATGTTTTCCTTCACCGCCGCGAGCACGTGGTAAATCAGCACTTAAAATTGCAATTAACAATTTCATTGGTGCCGGCGGAGATCGAACCCGGGTTTCTCGCGTATTGTGAAACTTACAGCGAGTGCTAACCATCTGAGTTACCACGGCTCCCATTTTACAAATATAACTTTTACTTTTATAACATAATCGTAAAATACTGGGATTCAGTTGAATCTGGTTTGACTGGGAGCCGACCACAATGTAGTTGGGAAAAAGGCTAGGCAGATGATGAATCGTACATAATGTTGCGCGCTACTATTAATGTCTTGTATATGGCAACACTAGTTACCACTAGCGCCCTCTAGTGTCGAGTAGCAGAACTAGAAGAGTCAAGATCCTTCGAGAAATTTCGGGACCGATATGTACTCGAACATTCCAGATGTTTCTACAGTAGAAGGTTCTGGAAACTATCTGAGGCTCTATATAAAGCCGGTATAGACCACGACCGAGTCAGTATTGAATTGGCGATACAAGAGAATACTTTGAAGCGAAATAACTGCAAACCAAAGTGATCAGTATTACAATTGTGTTTTATTATTAGTGTGGTTTTAGATTGTAATTAGTGTTGTGTAATTAAAGTGTCAATTTTGGTAATTCAATCGGCAGTTTTTAACTGTCTCGAATCCCAAGCTCGTAACAATAATACTATATATCGTAGCAGGTGGCGTTCTGTAGTTCTGCCTACGCATACAGAAAAAGGAAAACATTTTTTTTCATTCACGCCATCTAGTGTTCAATTTTCGCAAACGTAGGGACTAAGAATTCACCCACGCCAGTGTGTGTAAACGACACTATATTTAATGACAGATGTTATTTTCGGACTTTGTGTTGAATTGTGTGGATTTTGAGGCAATGATATGACCTATTAAAATAAAGTATAATGTCCGAGTACCGCGATTGCTACTTCTACGACTTAATAATCTTCCAATTACACAAAAACCCAAATAAATTAAAAAATGATGACTTCAGCGCCATCTCGTGAGAATATGGACGGGAAAAGACCGTAAGTTTCACCTTAAGAAAATGATGACACATATAACTACTTTACATTATATTACTGTAATTGTAATTTATAAATGAAGATAGTAATTAAATATTATATTAAAATATAAGTGAAGAAATATTTATGGATATAAACAATCTTATTTTGTACTAGCGCCATCTATCCCAAGCTTTTATCTCTTTATTTCAAAAAAAAATTGTTTCAACAGCTGTTCGTGTCTGCCGGGCTACACCGGGGTGCGGTGCGAAGTGAACATAGACGACTGCTTGGATAACAGGTGCCAAAACAACGCCACCTGCGTCGACCACCTGGAAGGATACACCTGCAAATGTGCGCCTGGATATATGGGTAGGTTATACGTTTTTATGATGTTAAGAGCGGGATTAGTAAAAATGCTTAGAATGAGAAATGGATGTTTTTTACAAACGCAGGATGTGTATAGTCTCAAATCGAAATAAATATATGTAGACACTTATACGGCCTCTGATCTCAGGGGTACTTCGCTTAGAGCTGGGGCGGCATCAGAGGCTGCTGAACTGAGTAAGTGGCGCAAACATGAGTCTCTGAGATACGACGACATATTTGTGTCATTTGCTGTGGAATCTATCGATCCGTGGGTTACACGTGCGGGGGAAGTCCCAAAAGGAACTCTATCCGCGACTGTTCGATGCTGCTGGTGATGAGATGGCTGGTTCTTTTCTCGCTTAAAGGCTAAGTACAGCCATTCATCATGAGATACCGCGGGGAGTAGGACTGTATGATAATTAAGTTACTAGTTTTAGTTTTTTAATTATAGTATAATAAAATATTGTATATTATATTATGTAGATATATAATTTAATTATACCTTCTTAGTAGGAGCTTCCAAAAATAAATACATCGAGGTCAATAAACTCTCAGATTTGACACAAAGTAGCTACTGACTGTGAATACTTGCCACCAACTTAAAACAAAGAAGGATGCGTTGTCACAATAGCCTGGTCTTCCCAGGCGGAGTCATATATAGAACATACTTATATATCGTTGTTTATTAGCCTATACAGTCCAACGCTGAACATGATTCTCTTTCTTGCACGGGAGACAACACCAGATGTTTGTATAGTACCTGATATTCCACTGTACAACTAGTGCGTGTTACCAGTGATGACCTATGAAACAGAGACGTGGTGCTTCACCGGCCGTAAGAGGAAGCTCAAGTACTATGCTCGGCGTTTCCCTGCGCGATAAACTTAGAAATGAGGATATCCGCAGTAGAACCAGAGTAACCGACATAGCCCAACGGATTAGAAACCTGAAGTGGCAATGCGCCGGCCATATAGCTCGAATACCGACAACCGATGGGGAAAAAAGGTTCTCGAATGGCAGCCTCGTACCGGTAGGCGAAGTGTAGGGCAACCCCCCACTAGATGGATTGACGTCCTGGTAAGACATGCAGGAAGTCGATGAATGTAGGTGGCTCTGGACCGTGCTTTGTGGCATTCCTTGGGCGAGACCTATGTTGTGCAGTGGACTTGTGAAGGGCTGTAATGATGACTCTTTAGACCAGTCTTTCTCAAAGTGGGCGATAACGCCCTCTTGTTGGCGTTGGAGACCTAGAGGGGGGCGTTAAGGGGCCCAGAAAAAAGAGGGGGCGTTTGCGGGGTTTAGGAGGGCGATGGTTGATTTGTAATTTTATCTAGATACTTTATATTTTAAAATTTACCAAAATTTAAACCTACTTACTACTCAATATCGAATAATTAGTTTATTTTTCTGCCCTGTGTGATGGTGTATAAACTAGGAATACTTAACATAGATTTCGTAGGATAGCCCGTACGCCGTGCGCGATCAAGTTGTAACAAGTTTTTGTTAAATAACGCTATTGGTGCAATCCGGTAGCAATCGGCTGGTTCATCGATACTTGTCTTAACTTACGTACGATTGAGCGTCGAAAGCGATAAACGAGTTTTTGCGTGTTTGTCTTATTTCTCTCGGTACGTGCTGTATTTAAATCCCATATAAAAGCTCGTAATAATTTTTATATTTTCATTGGTGGTTTTGCGCGCAATCTTTGAACAAGTATTTAAGTTCAACACTTTATTTACATATTTCTAAAAACAAAACCATGTCGGAGGCAAAAAAAGAGACGGCAATATAGTGCAGAATATATTAAATATGGATTCATACAATATTCGACAAATCCATCTTTGCCTTTGTGCCTTCTTTGTTCAAAAACATTTTCAAATGAAGCGATGAAGCCTTCAACACTTCAAGATCATTTGAATAAAATGCATCCAGATAAGAAGGACAAATATGTAGCCTATTTTCGAGACCTGGAAAAAAAGCATAATGCTCAGCTAAGTGTATCAAAACGTTTTTCGGTGGCTGCTAAGCAAGACGACGACGGACTTCGAGCTTCATACAATATCTCTTTGTTAATTCCTCAAACATGTAAACGACACACCATCGGAGAAACGTTAAATTTGCCGCCAATAAAAGAAGTTATAACTACTGTGCTCCATAAACCGTCGGCAGACATAATTCGAAAAATTCCTTTGAACAATAGTTGTGTACAAAGGCGAATTGATGAAATGGCTGAAAAGATTGACGAGTCATTGTGCAATCATCTGAAGACTAGTCAATTTTCAATTCAGTTGGATGAGTCCACTTTACCAACTAATGACGCATTGTTGTTGTCTTACGTGAGGTTTATTAAAGATGAAAAAATATGACAAAAACTATTATTTGCTAGGAGACAAACACAAAAGGCGAAACCATATTTAAAACACTGAATAAGTTTTGATGAAGTGATGATAATTTAAAATTAAAAATTTTGTACAGCCGGCTTCAATATAAGTTATTGAGAATAACTCAAAAACTATTGGTCTGACCTTGACCAAATTTAAATGGGACCACACGAGAAGTATCAGCTTTCATATAAAAAAGAATCATCTAAATCGGTTCACCCAGTAAAAAGTTATGAGGTAACACACATAAAAAAAACATACAGTCCAATTGAGTACCGTCCGTCTCCTTTTTGGAAGTCGGCAGAAAAAGGAATTCCCTTGAAGAATATTATATCAGTTGCTACAGATGGCGCTCCAGCTATGACGGGCAGGGTCTGAATTACCCACAGGCTAACTAGGCTGGAGCCTAGGGCGCAAGGTTCGAGGGTGCGCTAAGCTTGAGCCTTTGCAAGTATTACTTACATATGTACAGAATAAAATTTGGTATAATATTCTCTATAAATAATAGAGTAAGTGCCGCAATAAACTTGCTCAAGCTCTCTTGTCTAACTCTAATTTTATTAAGTTGTTTTGGCAAAGCTGTCCAAAGGAACTTCTGTCAGTCATCTATTCCATCTCTGTACAGGGTGAATGACCCACTGGCCCATGCCGCAAAGGAGAAGTTGATCTTTTAGGTTTTCTTTTCGAGTCCAACTCCCCTCTCTCTGACGGGGAGTACATACCGCCGACCAGCCCTCGGTGTGATTACTCCATGCTGGGTGTGTGGTAACGCTCAGTGTGCAATGCACTCCTCTCCCTGGACGTCTACAAGTCGAGTGGCTCTGATGGAGTCCCTTCTATTTTGCTGAAGACGGTTTCCCCGGAGTTAGCATTGGTTCTAACGCGTCTTTTTATTTACTCGTAATCCTAATTAATCCTAAACTTATGGAACACAGCTTTAGTACACCCGATCCCTAAAAAGGAGACCGTTCAAACCAGTCCAACTACAGGCTTATCACAATTGCCTCAGTGTTCTCCAAAATAATGGAATCTGTAATAATATATATAACCACGGGTTTGGACATATCGAATGCCTTCGATTGGCTTTTTTAGAATCCTTTCTGTGGGCTTTTCGAGAAATTGTGCAATTTGATCATCACTTTTCTTGCAGATCGGAGGATCAAGGTTGTAGTAGACGGTGCATACTCCGACTACGAGCATATTAATACTAGCCTTCCACAAGGCTGCATGCAATGCCCTACGCTTTTTCTTCTGTACTATATCAATTATATGTTGCTGTTATTGTTATTCTTAATTTAATAAGTTGCGTTTTAATTGCTCTCACTGGTAATAATGTCTAGTTTTAAATGTAAGTTTATACACTAGAACCGGCTAATATAGCACACAATAACCAAATTAATTAAAGTAAAATAAAATTGGAGGCGCTGAAAAATAATTGATTTTCGAAGGGGGCGGTAAAAGAAATTAGTTTGGTAATCTCCGTTTCGAACACTGCTCTCTGCAATGTTTAATTATTTTCCTTCTTAGCATATAGACGTCAACTTATAAACAGATGCCTCTCCCATTTTTTTTATATTACTGAAGTGATAAATCACTTTAATGAGGAATGGAGAAAGAAGGACCTCTACCCCGCAGTAACATATTAATTAGGTGGTAAATCCGTGGTAGCTCAGAAACTGGCCTGTGGCAAACAGTGGTAATTTTATACGTTGCAGATATATTATGGCTGTAACACGAATGGGGCGGGTTGACCAAAGAAAGACCACGCTCTCGCGGAAGACCAGCGTAAAATAGCAGCTTAATGCTGAGCTGTGTTCCGTATGGTGAGTGTAGAGAACCGAAGAGCCATATTACTAGAAACGAGGCATTCTATCCTAGACCTCATTTGTGACAATTGCATTATCATTCTTAACTGAGGATAGATGTCTATGGGCCACAGCATCCACTTACCATCAGTTGTCACTATTATTAAAAAAAAGTGGGGCATATAAAACCTGTAACCTTACAATCTGTACTTTAATAGGAACGCTAATAGTTAGCTATTCTCAACATGTTTTCTTGTTTACAGGAGAGTTCTGCGAGAAGAAGATACCGTACTGCACCGCAGAGTTCAACCCCTGCGAGAACGGAGCCACGTGCGTGGACCACCACAGCCACTACTCGTGCAGCTGCCCGAAGGGCTACTCTGGACAGAACTGCACCCTGAATGCTGATGACTGCGTGAACCACATGTGTCAGGTACTGCTGTGGTGACTACATGACCGTATAGGCTGAGCTACGTCCTAAGTCTTACGCTGTTAGTATTTGAATTCCAGCTGACGTGATCCAGCTATTGAAAACTCTAAATTCTAATTCAAAATGTTTATCGCATGTCACATTACAAATTTAAGATGGTACATCATTCATAGGTATACATGTTTGTGACGCCCCGCCTGAATTATCTAGCTTTTAAACATAAATTATAAAATATCATATCATAAACGTTACGGTTACAGCCTATTTAAAGTTCACTGCTGAACATAGGCCTCCCCCATAGATTGTCTCATAGAGGATATTTGCCATAGTTGTAATGTTACTGTTGATTTGAAAACAACTCTCAGTGGGTCATGTGCTCCTGGTACATTATCTTCTATACATCCATCCATTACAGCCTATTAAAGTCCACTGCTGAACATAGGCCTCCCCCATAGATTGCCTCATAGGGGGGATATTTACCATAGTTGCCACGCTTGGCAAGCAGGTTGGCAACCGCAGTTTTTTTTATTTTAGTCGTTATTAGGAAGACGCTGCTGTCTCTGAATCTCCTGATTTGTTTCCCTCTATCCCGTCTTACGAGACCCACGGAATGATATGGGGTAGTGGATATTCTTACACAGCTACTACATGGTAAATTCGACTGTAGTTTTTTATGTGTGTTAACTCTGAAATTTTTTCTAGGTGAATCTTTTTTTATAATTCTTTTTTATTTGAAAACTGGTGCTACTCATGTAGTTCCATATAAATTTGATCAAGATCTGACTTGACTTCGACTACATTGATGATGTTGTCATTTTATTTTTATTGAAGTCAGTTGTACAAAATTTTTAATTTCTCCTCTTGTGTTTCCGTATGTTTCTTACCTTTTTTGTTTTCTTAATGTGCAAAAAAGGGTATTGTATTGTATCTTATGTCCATTATTATACTATACAACAAGTAACAAGTACCCTGTGGATGATGTCAAGTGCATTATTAGAAGCAGTATTCAAACGTTTAGAAATAAAATTTACGTCAGAAAACTCTACCATAAAAAAATCAAATTTAATTTAATTACATTTTTATTTCCATATTATGTGGGTTTATTTCCTCTGCATTGGCCAGGGAGTGTCAGTTATTTCAGATGTGAATAACAATTTTTAAACATGATTGCATTTAAGTTACCTGTTGTAAACAATAAAATCCATTTAATATCGACAAAAATAATCACTGTCATAAATACTATGCAATATGTAAATCTATACGTCCCTATAAGATTCACCGTATTGTTTGTTACATATTGTGTATAATATAAATAATTATGGACTTTAAAGAGAAAGTCTTTCTCGCTTCTCGTGTAGATTCAGGGGGTTAGAGATAAATGAAGACATCTCAGAATAATACCTAAAGTGAAATTATAGTGTGATGACATTATACGTGGTAGAGCCATACTGCAGCTATATTAGTAGTATAGTTGTAGAACGAATGGGTCGACCTGGCCGAGGAAGGACCACGCTCTCATAGAAAACTAGCGTAAAATATCAGCATAACCCTGCTGTGTTTCGTATGGCGAGTGTAGAGAATCGGAGACCCTTTTTACTGAAAACGAGGTATTCTATCTTAGTCCTCACGGGTGACAACGCATCTGCATTTTGATTCATAGTCGAGGATAGATGTAGATGTCTATGGGCCACAGCACCCACTTACCATCAGGTGGATTGTGTAGATAGTAGAAGTTTGGTAGATCGCATAGATCGGACCAAAATAATAATGAAAAAAGCTGAAGATACTCCGGGTTAACTCTGACATCGGGACGTCAATCACCTCAGTCCCCGTGAGTGCTGTAGAGTACCCGAGACGTCGGGAATAAATAAAAAACAATTTAATTAAACGCGATAGAATCCGTAAAAGTAGTTTTATTCAATAAAAAGTTTACTTTTAAAAAACAAGCTGGCCGTCACAGGATGCTTGGCAGATGTAAAACATCGTAGTTTACGATAGATGAAAACCAATATAGAAATATTGGGTAACTAAAAAGTATAAAAGAGAAATACAAAGTGTGTATACAAGCGTTGAACGCGTCAAGTATACTATAATCGAATAAAAAGACACACGCAGTACACAACTCGTACAGGAAGCAACGGAGTACAGAGAGTACGCGCACGCATACACAAGGGAGTCGAGAGATATGGCGCAGAAGGGGTATGACAGCTAAGAAAGTGATATGCTGTTTGCCGTCACAGAATACGAGTCGATTTTACTGCCAATAATTTGATATTTTACATCAAAATTATTTTATCTCGGACTCAGCTCTACCTTTGATTTTGTAGATCATGAAATACTACTATAAGAACTTGGGCATTATGGCATCAGAGGCAAAATTTATAAAATTAAGTGATAGAAGTCAGTATGTAGGGTTAGGGTACACTAATAAGGGTCGAGAAATACCTCAAGCCAAGTCATTTCCACTAGAGTGGTCCCACAAGGATTCATTCTGGGTCCACTGATCTTCGTCGTCCTTATTAACGATATGATGATAAATTACATTGAAACTTATTTACATAATGTGAAAGTAATCGTTTTCGCTGATGATTCAAATGCAGTTCTGTATGCTTAACATAATGAGGAACTCAAAATGAAAGCAAATCTAACGTTGGCATTATTTACTAAATGAGTCGCCATTAACAATTTTATATTAGACGTGAGCAAAACTGAAGTGATGCTATTTAAATCGACAGTCGTAACAGACACAAAAGTAAGGTCAAGATTATTGTCTGTACAGTCGGGTAGCTATTTGTTTAAATATTAAACCAACTTCAATTCGATAACGCAACTACCTGGTTGCACATGGATATGGTAGGAGTATTAGACCCTACAGACCTTAACTAAGTTCTCTATATCTAGCAGTCCGTAATTCCCTAGCTCTACCATATAAATATATGGTAGAGCTAGGGCTAAATTAGATAAGTGTGGGATATATGTACCATGAGACCTAAGGTAACAAATCACCTGACCCTGATATCCTGAGGATATCACTGATATCCTGAGGATATCAGGGTCAGGTGATGTGGTTCTCTCACCACCAGTCAAGCAGACTCACAAGACTGATCAGTGGTTTTGACAGCTAAAAGTGTCTTAGCCGCAGTGAGAGGGAGACCTACTGACTTGACACTGGCAGAATTTTATCAAGAGAAGCCATAATTTAAAAGAAGAAGATAGGAAGACCTTACCTTGTTTATTTTTATTTAAGTTTAAGTTTATTTACAAAACGTTCGAATTTATAGAATTTCATATAACTAAATACAAACAAAAATTTACATCATATGCTAAGGTTACTCAGCAACAACTATTAGTGTGCGTGAGTTTTGTTAAGGCGGTCACCGAGCTAATGTGTTCTGAGCTACTACGGCTAAGATAACAGCTTAACATTTAATACACCGACATTCAGAAAAATATTCCCGGGAATCCCGGGGCATGTCCATATTAATATTATCATACAAGTTCATTGACTCAAAATGTCATTACCCACGCCGATCACTAGACATCACATATAATTAATAAAAATTGGTCTGACCTTCCGTAACGTTCACTGTTAAATTAGAATATACGTATATATAAAAGGTTAAGTCGTTATCAAAATGTATGGGCAATATACACAATCTATGTTGTAGGCTTCTAATTATTTAATCTATAACACACTTTTCCCACGGTAATAAGTAATCCAGTACCATGTGTGACAATCGGAACGTACCGATCCATGTGCAGAATGGAGCTACGTGCGTAGACGGCCTTGATGAGTACCGGTGTGCGTGCGCTGCAGGCTATGCGGGCCGCTACTGTGAGGCGGCGCCACACGCGGCGCTCGGCACCTCGCCCTGCGCGCACCACGACTGCGTGCACGGCGTGTGCTATCTGCCCGCACTGCCGCTCGCGCTACAGGTGAGCAAGGTGTGGTGTGCTACGGGCGCTACGTACGTACGTGTGCTACGAATGCTACGTGTGCGCACTACAAGTGCGTGCACGGCGTCTGCTATCTGCCCGCACTCCTGCTCGCGCTACAGGTGAGCGAGGTGTGGTGTGCTACGGGCGCTACTTACGCTAAGTGTGCTATGAATGCTACGTGCGCGCACCACGACTGCGTGCACGGCGTGTGCTACCTGCCCGCACTCCCGCTCGCGCTACAGGTGAGCGAGGTGTGGTGTGCTACGGGCGCTACTTTCGCTACGAATGCTACGTGCACGCACCACGACTGCGTGCACGGCGTGTGCTACCTGCCCGCACTCCCGCTCGCGCTACAGGTGAGCGAGGTGTGATGTGCTACGGGCGCTACGTTCGCTACGAATGCTACGTGCACGCACCACGACTGCGTGCACGGCGTGTGCTACCTGCCCGCACTCCCGCTCGCGCTACAGGTGAGCGAGGTGTGATGTGCTACGGGCGCTACGTTCGCTACGAATGCTACGTGCACGCACCACGACTGCGTGCACGGCGTGTGCTACCTGCCCGCACTCCCGCTCGCACTACAGGTGAGCGAGGTGTGGTGTGCTACGGGCGCTACATTCGCTACGAATGCTACGTGCACGCACCACGACTGCGTGCACGGCGTGTGCTACCTGCCCGCACTCCCGCTCGCGCTACAGGTGAGCGAGTTGTGGTGTGCTACGGGCGCTACGTTCGCTACGAATGCTACGTGCACGCACCACGACTGCGTGCACGGCGTGTGCTACCTGCCCGCACTCCCGCTCGCGCTACAGGTGAGCGAGGTGTGATGTGCTACGGGCGCTACGTTCGCTACGAATGCTACGTGCACGCACCACGACTGCGTGCACGGCGTGTGCTACCTGCCCGCACTCCCGCTCGCGCTACAGGTGAGCGAGTTGTGGTGTGCTACGGGCGCTACGTTCGCTACGAATGCTACGTGCACGCACCACGACTGCGTGCACGGCGTGTGCTACCTGCCCGCACTCCCGCTCGCGCTACAGGTGAGCGAGTTGTGGTGTGCTACGGGCGCTACGTTCGCTACGAATGCTACGTGCACGCACCACGACTGCGTGCACGGCGTGTGCTACCTGCCCGCACTCCCGCTCGCGCTACAGGTGAGCGAGGTGTGATGTGCTACGGGCGCTACGTTCGCTACGAATGCTACGTGCACGCACCACGACTGCGTGCACGGCGTGTGCTACCTGCCCGCACTCCCGCTCGCGCTACAGGTGAGCGAGGTGTGGTGTGCTACGGGCGCTACGTTCGCTACGAATGCTACGTGCACGCACCACGACTGCGTGCACGGCGTGTGCTACCTGCCCGCACTCCCGCTCGCGCTACAGGTGAGCGAGGTGTGGTGTACTACGGGCGCTACGTTAGCTACGAATGCTACGTGCACGCACCACGACTGCGTGCACGGCGTGTGCTACCTGCCCGCACTCCCGCTCGTGCTACAGGTGAGGGAGGTGTAGTGTGCTACGTGCTGTGTGCGCGCTTCACGTCTACATACGCATGGCTACGTGGACCGATACTACGAAGTTACGGCGCACACCAGAACGGCAGAATTAAGTAAGAACCTACGTTCCCAGACAAATTCCTCGTCATCCGTGAATGAGACATAATGTCCAACAGTATGTAATCAAACTGACTCTCTTATCCTTCAAACAGGAACACAGCAATTGGTATAGTAGTGTTAGTAGCATACACACCAGGGCGGCAGGAACAGGTAAGTGGGTGAGACCAATCTAGATGGACTAGGAAGAAATGACTTATTAAAAAAGCTTCTATGTTTCAGTTCACATCACTGTGTTTATTATCATCATCGCCACTACAAACCATCACAATTCCACTGCTGAACGTAGGCCTCCCTCAAGGAATGCCACTAAGCACGGTCCTGAGCCACCTATATCCATCGACTTGCTCCATCTTTAACTAGGTCCTCACTCCATCTAGTGAAGAGCCGCCCTTTCGCTTTGGGTGCTTATACTGTGTTTCTTATCCTTGAAATCTGAACTCAACAGTGGATGCAAGCACACCAATTTGGGGGGAAATGTTTATTTTTTTTTTGTAAAACGAACATACAGTCCACCTGATGTTAAGTAGTGACTGCAGCTATCTGCAGCATAGACATCTGTAACCTACTTCATTTAAAGTAAGGTTACAGATACGCTGTCACCTCTAAGGAATAATATGGAATGCATCACACCGTGTAATTGTATTCAGATCGGAACATCGCAGTGCAGGCGTGGTATACGTGGTGGAGCAATGATACAGCTATACTAGTAGTATAGTTGTAGCACGAATGGGACGGCTCGACCAGGGAAGCACTTCGCTCTCACAGAATACCAGCGTAAAATAGTATCTTAACACTGCTGAGTTTTGCGGGTTAGTGGATATTCTTACACCGTCACTATACGGTTGCACGGAGTACAGCTGCCTAATTAAAACCCAGTTCCTTATTTCCAGGACGACATTATGATGGAGCGACCGATGCTGGGCGCAACCAACGACTACCTGTGCAAGTGCGCGCCCGGATATTCTGGTGAGTATCCCTTCTTCTTCATAATTAACAATGAAACTTCCGTAGGATATTACATTAAAAACAAATAATTATGATTTCTTATGTTTACGCAAACACAACACATTGAATGATACTTACTAGTTTTAAAAGTGAATGGTCATTAAATGTACTTATTTTAAACGCGAAAGAACATCGATTCATACCAAGTATCATACGTGTTGTTATTGAAATTAAACAAGATCCTAACATCAATAAAGAGAATGGCTGGGTTCTACCATCAGCTTGGCATTCTACAATTAATAAAATTTCAAATTTTTATAAATTAAAATTTAAATGATCGTTCTGCATAGTAAAAAGTTTTAATTTTAAACTAAAGGTGGCCGTGATTAACTATGACATTGAGACGTTGAACACCTCAGGATCCCCCGTGACCATAGGTGCTGTAAAGTGCTCGAAACGTCGGCTATATAAAATAAGTATATAATATACGCGATAAATTCGTAAAACTAGTTTCATTGAAAGAATAAAACAATTGCCACATAATGGCAGAGAAAACGAGACTACCGAAGATATGTACATACAAGCGTCTTGCAACAGAGAACTAACGCTATTCCCGTGCGGCGGTACGCAGTACCAAATATCGCGTTATTTTCGTTGTCTGTTAAGTCTCGGTCACACTTAGCGCGAATACTAGCTGCGAGAATTCGCTATGTGTGACAGACTAGTCGCCGCGATTAGATTCATTCGCCGCGAGTTTAATTCGCTGCGAATTGAATTGAACATGTTCAATTTTACTCTCTGCGAATGAGCACTCGCTGCGAGAACTCGCTGTGTGTGACACGGTACTCGCTGCGAGTAGCAATTCCGCTCCAGACTACACGCCTGTACATGTGTTTCGTTACTGCATGATACATGTGAGTAGGTCAATCAAATGAGTTAACCGATAAACGATTCTCTAAAATGGGGAAATTACGATATAATTCGATACTTGGGTGTATATAGAAAAAATAGGGAGCTGTTTGACACAAATAACAGTAATTTAAACAACCCAAAGGCAGACACCTTAATTTTTTAACGAATTAATTGAGTTGGGATTTGAAATAGCAACCCAAGAGCAATTGAAAAGCAAAATTAAGAATATAAAATATACATATTATACATAATTATCGTGTTGTCGCTGTCTTTGTCGCTGCGAGTAATATTCGCAGCGAATACACTCGCAGCGAATATTCGCTGTGTGTGACCGAAGCTTTACTGTAGATTGTAGGTGAAACACGCTCTTGTGTGCAAGCATTGCGAGACGTTTCTAGCTCTCTACAGATTTGAAGTCAAGGCATTATTCTTCTATAACCTATGTTTGAGCAACGAATTTAGGAGCTATTATGTAGAAATTGTTTTATAATTTTTACTTTCTATGAAAAGTTGAGTTCTCGCATATTTTGAGTTTCCCAGTAAATTTACTTGTGTCAGGGAACTCCGCTCTTCCATAGCTTTTTTCTATAGTGTCTATATGGATCAAACATTATTGTTAATAACTAATATTTACCCTACAGAAACATTATAGTTTTATTATCTTATTATAGTTTTATTAATACTGGAATCATATACCTATAACGAATCATTATTCAAACTTTTCTGCGTCTCCACTCACCCTACAGGTCGACTCTGCGAGTACCTCACATCGCTCACATTCAACTACAATGACTCACTGGTGGAACTGGAACCTCTCCGAACCTCGCCACAGGCCAACGTCACTCTTGGTGAGTATGAGTTCCTCATCAACCATCGAACCACAAAGAAGTAAAGAAAAAAAAACCTGATATTAACTACTACATGTAGCCAAAACGTAACAATAATAAATAATTTTTTTTTTATAATTATATTAATATTTATGTCACCTGTTAGGATTATATTTTTATATGTGCTAAGTTTGTTTAGTCAAGGGACTCTAGAAATCTATCAATATTTTGTGAAGGAGGTCTGTAAATTGCGATAACAATCGTCTCGGAATTAATTCTAATGATTAAGCAATTACTATCCTGGAATGTAGGTTCTCTGACATCAATAATAATTTCCTCTTCCTTCCATACCGTCACCGTTACAGCCTATTAAAGTTCACTGCTGAACATAGGCCTCCCATAGATTGTCTCATAGTGGGGATATTTGCCATAGTTGTAATGTTACTGTTGATTTTATAGTTTCACCTCTCTGTGGGTCATGTGCTCCTGGTAGATTATCTTCTATACACCCATTACAGCCTATTAAAAAGTCCACTGCTGAACATAGGCCTCCCACGTAGATTGCCTCATAGGGGGGATATTTGCCATAGTAGTAATGTTACTGTTGATTTTATAATTTCACCTCTCAGTGAGTCATGTGCTCCTGGTAGATTATCTTCTATACACCCATTACAGCCTATTAAAAAGTCCACTGCTGAACATAGGCCTCCCACGTAGATTGCCTCATAGGGGGGATATTTGCCATAGTAGTAATGTTACTGTTGATTTTATAATTTCACCTCTCAGTGAGTCATGTGCTCCTGGTAGATTATCTTCTATACACCCATTACAGCCTATTAAAAAGTCCACTGCTGAACATAGATAGGCCTCCCACGTAGATTGCCTCATAGGGGGATATTTACCATAGTTGTAATGTTACTGTTAATTTTATAATTTCACCTCTCAGTTGATCATGTGCTCCTGGTAGATTATCTTTTATACATCCATTACAGCCTATTAAAAAAGTCCACTGCTGAACATAGGCCTCCCACATAGATTGCCTCATAGGGGGGATATTTGCCATAGTTGTAATGTTACTGTTAATTTTATAATTTCACCTCTCAGTTGATCATGTGCTCCTGGTAGATTATCTTTTATACATCCATTACAGCCTATTAAAAAAGTCCACTGCTGAACATAGGCCTCCCACATAGATTGCCTCATAGGGGGGATATTTGCCATAGTTGTAATGTTACTGTTGATTTTATAATTTCTCCTCTCAGTGCGTCATGTGCTCCTGGTAGATTATCTTCTATACATCCATTACAGCCTATTAAAAAAGTCCACTGCTTGAACATAGTAACTGTAGTCGCCTTTGTTTGAAGTTGATCGCAGGTGTCCATGGAGTGCAATTAGCCACTTACCATTGATAAATTCGTTTGTCACTTCAGTTTAAAAAAAAAGAAACCAAAAAGTTATAGTGTAACCCCAATACGACACGAATTGTAAGTATAAACAGCATAGCACTAAATGTAGTGCAAGCACAATGTAGCCTCAATTGTAGTCTCATCAGTCGCAACATCTTACGTGGTAGAGCCATGCTGCAGCTCTCAGACAGAGGTTTTTTTCCCGAAATAGTGATAAAAGTAAAAAGTGAAGTTCAATAAGAATTACATGTAATCTATATTGAATAAAACTTATTCTATTGTATTCTATTCTATTAATGTCTATGTATAATTTCTTGAAGTGTTCAGCACGACCCAACACCACGGCGTGCTGATGTACTTTGGCGACAACGAACACCTCGCCGCGGAACTCTTCAACGGGAGGATCCGTATCAGCTACGACGTTGGCAACCACCCGACCTCTACCATGTACAGGTTAGCACTTCTTTAATTGAATTTATCTTTTGTAAATTTTACTTCTTTTCGGTTCAGGCGTCCTTCTTGCCTATTTATCTTATATTATATATATTAAGGGTGACAAACGAGCACACAGTCCACCTGAAGGTAAGTGGATGCTCTGACTCAATGACATCTACATCTAACCTCGTGTGGCGGATTGGGATTATTTTATTAGATATAGTGGACTGTATTGAGATTCTAAATGCCCTGAAACGTTCGATCACCGCAGTCACAAAACTACAGCAAAAGCAGCAACAAACTACACACGGTCTTACTAGCCAGCCTCCCAAGATCAGTAAACGTTGACAGCTTCTGTTAGCTTCTTCTACACGGTAGAATACACTAGCAATTAGATTGTACACGGCACACTCTGGAGTAGTCAATTTTTAAAAGTTTTTTGGAGAGATATTCACATCACGATAACACAAAGAGAATGTATATGGCTTGTCTCGGCTCCTACCCTCTTCTTCGTTTTTTAACTCCACAGATTATTACAACGCATATTACGTCGCAATGTTGCCACTAGGTGTAACCGGCGCTCAGATCGCCGCAGATAATTGTGACTCGGTATAAATTTTGTAAGTTGCGATTTATTACTGAACACCTCGATTAAGAATTAAAAAGCAAATGCGTTGTCAGACCTGACAACTAAGGTGGAATTCGTCTCCAGAATGCGTCGGCAGAATGGGTCTCCGGTTCTCTACACTCACCATACGAAACACAGCAGTATTAAGCTGCTATTTCACAGTGGTATTCTGTGAGATCGTGGTCCTTCCCCGGTCGATCCGACACATTCGTGCTGCCACCATAATATAGCTACAGCATGGCTCTACCATGTAAATTAGTGTAGGTTCTGCTCACGCAAAAACCAACCATTAGTAAAGTAAATGTTTAGTTTAACTAATACGCTGTCATTTGAGCCATCGACCATGGTAACGGCGGGGCAGGGAGTGCTAAGAATCTCCGGTGGAGGTTCGGTTGCCAACTAAGACAACTCGACCTGGCAACCTATAACGCACGAACCCTGAGGACTGACGAGAAGATCGTGGAGCTTGAAGAAGAGATAGACAAGTTACGCTGGCATATTATAGGATTATCCGAGGTCCGAAGAGAGGGGGAGGACACGGTGATCCACGAATCCGGCAACTTGTTCTATCACTGAGAGGGCGACCATCTGTCCCAAGGAGGTGTTGGATTTATCGTCCACAAGTCTCTCGTTGACAACGTTGTAAAGATTGAGGGTGTGTCGAGGAGGGTTGCGTACCTTATACTCAGAATCACCAAACGGTATTCGCTGAAGGTCATACAGGTTTACGCACCAACCTCGGCACACCCCGATCAGGAGGTGGAGGAAATGTATGAGGATATCTCTAGAGCCAGCATTCCTCCAAAACCCACTATAAGGTGTTAATGGGAGACATTAATGCAAAAAGAGCTGAAAGTAGAGAAATTTGGAATGGGGCAACGGAACCCAAGGGGCCAGCAGCTGACCGACTTCATGGATAAAGAGGGACTCTTTATGATGAACTCTTTCTTCCAGAAGCGGCCCCACAGGAAGTGGACATGGTCGAGCCCCGACGGTTCGACAAAAAATGAGATTGACTTCATTATGACGACGAGACGACAACTGTTCAGTGATGTCTCCGTGATCGCGAGGGTGAAAACTGGTAGCGATCACCGAATGGTTAGAGGCACACTGAACCTAAACGTTAAGTTGGAGAGGTCTCGTCTAATGAAGTCAACGCTCTGTCCCCCTCGTGCTCTGTCCCGAAACCTTTCAGCTCGAGTTACAAAACCGTTTTCAGTGCCTAGAAGACTGCAATGAAGTGGACGATATGAATGACAAGCTCGTGGAAACTGTCCATGCGGTCGGAGCTAAGTTCTGCAAGACCCGCCGCAGAAGAACACAAAAACTCTCCGATCACACTTTTAATCTCATGGCTGTTAGACGGGAGATGAAGCTACATTCTTCAACAGACTTAACAGCATACAGGCATCTGAACAGACAGATCTCCAAATGCATGCGGCGGAACTTACGCAACTTCAATACAGCTTGTATTGAAGAAGCGATCGAGCGGAACCAAGGCTCCAAAGTCTTTGCCAGAGATCTGTCTACCAGAAAGAGCCAACTGTCAAAGCTGAATACTGAGTGTGGCAGCATCGTTTCTGGGACACCTGAGATTTTGAGTGAGATTGAGAGGTTCTATGGGCAGCTGTACACATCATCGTTGGAGCCACACGCAAGTGTTAGTAACGATCCAAGAGCGAGTCTTATCCGACACTATTCCGAAGACATCCTGGACGTCAGTCTGAGCAAGATTAGAATGGCTCTCCAGCACCTTAAAAACGGCAAGGCCCCAGGCGAGGATGGAATTACAGCGGAGCTTCTGAAAGCGAGTGGAAAACCGGTACTTGAAGTCCTTCAGAAGCTCTTTAATTCCGTCCTCCATGGTGGCATTACACCGGAGGCGTGGAGCAGAAGTGCGGTGGTCTTATTCTTCAAGAAAGGTGACAACGCTCTCTTGAAGAACTACAGACCGATTTCCCTTCTGAGCCACGTCTACGTGCTGTTTTCGAGAGTCATTACGAATCGTCTCGCGCGCAGACTTGACGACTTTCAGCCTCCCGAACAAGCCGGTTTCCGAAAGGGCTTTAGCACCATAGACCACATACATACCCTTCGGCAAATTGTACAGAAGTCCGAAGAGTACAATTTGCCACTATGTCTGGCGTATGTGAACTAAGAGAAAGGCTTTGATTCCGTCGAAATTTGGGCGGTGCTGCAGTCCCTTCAGCGGTGCCAAGTTGACTGTCGGTATATCGAAGTGTTGAAGTGCTTGTACAGTAGGGCTACGATGGCTATCCGAGTACAGAACCAGAGTACGAAACCTATCCAACTGCAGAGAGGTGTAAGACAGGGTGACGTTATATCCCCGAAACACTTCACCGCTGCATTGGAAGACGTTTTGAAGCTACTGGACTGGAAAGGATGCGGTATTAACATCAATGGCGAGTACATCACTCACCTTCGATTTGCCGACGATATAGTCCTTATGGTAGAATCGCTGGAGGACCTAAGCATTATGCTCAATAACCTCAATAGTGTCTCCCAACGGATAGGTCTTAAGATGAACATGGACAAAACAAAAATCATGTTTAACGTCCATGTCACACCTATGCCGGTAGTTGTTGGGAGCACTAAGCTCGAAGTTGTTGACGAGTATGTTTACCTGGGACAAAAAGTCCGACTAGGTAAGTCCAACTTCGACCGAGAGGTCAATCGACGGATTCAACTCGGCTGGGTAGCTTTCGGGAAACTACGACACATCTTCTCGTTAGACACACCTCAAAACCTAAAAACGAAATTGTACAACCAGTGCATGTTGCCAGTGATGTTTTACGGATCTGAGACGTGGTCCTTCACTGCTGGCCGTATGAGGAATCTCAAGGTCACTCAGCGAGCTATGGAGAGAGCTATGCTCGGAGTTTCTCTGCGTGATAAACTTAGAAATGAGGATATCTGCAGTAGAACCAGAGTAACCGACATAGCCCAACGGATTAGTAAGCTGAAGTGGCAGTGGGCCGGTCATATACCTCGAAGAACAGACAACCGATGGGGAAGAAAGGTTCTCGAGTGGCAGCCTCATACCGGTAAGTGAAGTGTAGGGCGACCCCCCACTAGATGGAGTGACGACCTGGTGAGACATGCAGGAAGTCGATGGATGCAGGTGGCTCAGGACCGTGCTTTGTGGCATTCCTTGGGGGAGGCCTATGTTCAGCAGTGGACTTGTGAAGGGCTGTAATGATGATGATGATTGAGCCATTGTGATTAGAAATAGATTATTTTATGTTCATTATTTTCGAAAAGGTACGCAATTCGACTGTATGTTTCTTTTTATGTGTGTTACCTCATAACTTTTTACCGGGTGAACCGATTTCGATGATTCTTTTTTTTATTTGAAAGCAGGTGCTTCTCATGTTGTCCCATATAAATTTGATCAAAATCTGACCTTTTGAGTTATTCTTAATAATTTATATTGAAGTCGGTAGTACAAAATTTTTAATTATTTAATTCGCAACTTATTTGCAGTTTCGAAATGGTCTCTGATGGCTCTTATCACAAAGCGGAACTTCTAGCCGTCAAGAAAAACTTCACCCTTCGTGTCGACGATGGGCCCGCCCGATCTATTATTAACGAAGGTAACAATTAAATTCAACCGTGTAGTGGCGGTGTAAGAATACCCACTACCTCATATCATCCCGTGTGTGTCGTAAGAGGCGACAGAGGGAAACAAACCAGGAGATGGGCAGCAGTGTCTTCCTAAGAACGACTAAAAATAAAAAACTGCGGCATATTGGAAACCGCAGTTTTTTATTTTTGCTTGCCTAGCGTGGTAATTATGACAAATATGTTCCACTACGCGACAATTTTTGGGGAGACCTTCAGCAGTGGACTTTAATAGGCTGTGGTGGGAGAGCTGTGTCGCTTGCGCTCAGTATATATATAACACAACAGAATGATTTAAATAAAAATTTACTTAGGTTTATAGTGTTGGAACATTGGGAAATAACTGTAATAAAAATATGAAGCGACTGGGTTGTTGTAAAGAAACAGGCGAACGTATGATAAACTATTTAAAACCTAATCTTATTAAAAAATATAAAGAGTGAGGTGGCGCGGGGAAGTGGGGGCGGAATTAGAATTCAAGCTGAGGTTGTGTAGGCTCTTAACAAAAGCAATATCAGATAAATTACAATCTGTAGACAGACAGAAATATAATCAATAATACAGACAGACACTTTAATTTTATTTATATGTATAGATTACAAACCCGATGCTCGTTCCTAAGGAGCCTTGTTTTATTTCTAACAGGTAGCAAGGAATATCTAAGACTGGAAAGACCGATGTTCCTGGGCGGAGTCCCGGAGGACGTGGCCAAGGATGCCTTCAGCAAGTGGCACCTTCGTAACATCACCAGCTTCAAAGGTAATCAACGAGATGATACTCCGAACCTTTTTAAACAGTAGTTACCCATACTGTAGTTAATGAACTCCTGTCAATAACTTTTCTAAACTTACAGATCTAGTTTTTTTCCCTTATATAAGCTAAGGTTTACAAACGAGCACACAGTCCCCCTGATGGTGGATGCTGCTAAGATGGAATGCCTCGTTTCCAGGAAAAAGTTATTTACGTGATAGAGCCAAGCTGCAGCTATATTTATATTATAGTTGTAGCGTGAATGGGTCAGCTCGACCGGGGAAGGACCACGCTCTCACAGAACACCAGCTTAAAATGGCAGCTTAATGTTGCTGTGTTTCCTATAGTGAGTGTAGAGAACCGGAGATCCTTTTTACTGGAATAGAGGCATTCCATCTTAGTCCTCACGGGTGACAACGCATCTGCATTTCGATTCGCAAACGAGGATAGATGTAGATGTCTATGGGCCTCAGCAACCACTTACTATCAGGTGGACTGTGTGTTTATCGTGTGCGTTTGTCACCCTATTTCTATAAAAAAGGGTCTCCGGTTCTCTACACTCACCATACGAAACACGGCAGCATTAAGCTGCTATTTTACGCTGATATTCTGTGAGAACGTGGTCCTACCGCGGTTGAGCTGATTTTTGATAGAATACGTTTCACTTACCCATCATCATCATCATTACAGTCGCTGCAGTTCCATCGGACTGTGAGAGTGAGGGAATAGAGAGTGCACCTGTGCTTGCGCACACACTCGTCTATAATCGTCGCACGACAATCGTGTCCTGCTTCGGTCTGGAGAAATAACTATTATATTTTTGTGCAGGGTGCTTGAAGGAAGCCTGGATTAATCACAAACGCGTGGACTTCGTGAACGCAGCCCGAGCGGTCCGCACTGCGGCAGGATGTGGTGGAGATGAACCTCCCCCGGCTACTCCGGGACAAGCTTTACAGGAAGATGGTGCCCACAGACAGGTGAGTTTTTTACGTGGTAGTACCACGCTATGTCAAACTTGTTTGTGCCTGAACAAACTTGTGTAAATAAGTCGAGTCTAAAACTCGGTTGAGTTGACTTTGCATCTCACTAAAATGTGAGACCCCTCCCGTTACACCGCTCTCAACCCCACTTTCGTCCAGTCGCGTCAGTACAGTTTGCATTAGCAATGGGCTGTAACAGATAAAATCGCATATCTGTTCCGCCTGTTCCAGTTCCACAAACCTGTTACAAAATAGCAGTCTGTTACTACAGTCTTGGTGGGTACTTCTCTTTCTAACTAAAATGTTGAACCTATGCGAGAAAAGGACAGAGATAACAGTAACAAGGTGTCACAAAGTAACAATAATCTTTTTTATCTTATTCTATTAAAGGTAACCGTCATAGGTATAAATAAAGAAAAGCTTGTGACTGTTGTATAATCAGTTTTGTTATCTCGCGGAACAGGAGCTGTTCCTTCAGTTTGTTTGTCACATTTAGTCTTATATTTATTTTTAGTATCTTAATACTTCCATAGGGTACTTCTCTTTCTAACTAAGATGTTGAACCTATGCGAGAAAAGGACAGAGACAACAGTAACAAGGTGTCACAAAGTACCAGTAATCTTTTTTATCTTATTCTATTAAAGGTAACCGTCATAGGTATGAATAAAAGAAAAGCTTGTGACTGTTGTATAATGAGTTTTGTTATCTCGCGGAACAAGTGCTATTCCTTCAGTTTGTTAATACTTCCAAAGGGTACTTCTCTTTCTAACTAAGATGTTGAACCTATGCGAGAAAAGGACAGAGACAACAGTAACAAGGTGTCACAGAGTACCAGTAATCTTTTTAATCTTATTCTATTAAAGGTAACCGTCATAGGTATGAATAAAAGCAAAGCTTGTGACTGTTGTATAATCAGTTTTGTTATCTCGCGGAACAGGAGCTGTTCCTTCAGTTTGTTTGTCACATTTAGTCTTATATTTATTTTTAGTATCTTAATACTTCCATAGGGTACAACTTTTTCTAACTATGGTTTTGAACTTATGTGAGAGCTTGGAAAGAGCTTGTGACGAGCAACAGGTGGTCACAGAAATATATTTTATCGTATTCTAGCAAAGGTAACCGTCATATGTATGTTAAAGAAAAACTTGTGACTGTCATTTAGTGGATTTGTTATCTCATGGAACAGGAGCTGTTCTTTCAGTTTTTTTTTGTCACAGTTACAGTCTGCTATTTTACTATATCTCACCTCTAATTTGCATCTTTGTTACCGATACGCACGTCTTCTCTTCTGGGATATGTGGTTTCAACAAGATAGTTGCCCAGCGCATTATGCTCGTCCAGTACGGGGTCATTTAAACATGGAATATCCCGGTAGGTGAATTGGACGCCTTGGCACAATTTTTAGGCCTCCTCGTTCTCCGGACCTACATGCACTTGACTTCTTTTACTGGGGCTGCATAAAAGACAAAGCGTACTTGAAACCGATACAAAATCTAGCCGAACTACGCCGCAAAATAGCTGAAACAGCAGAGGAAATAAACTCAAGGAGATACATGCAACTAGTGAAAAGTTCTTAGGCTCAGAAGGGCTAGAACCCAGAGCCGTAAAGCCAGTTTAAAAAATGAAAAGTTCTTCTCTGAGGCGATGCAGAGCATTCGTGCCGAATGCAAACAATTTGAATATTTAATTTGGTTTTAAGAAAAAATAAATGTATTACAATATTTACTAGTTTCATAATTGTTAACTTTTGCCGTAATACGACAATAGGGCATCATTGTCATACTTTGAGAATTTGTTGTTCGAGTTTTTTATGTTCCAAATTGTTGATAATCGTGATAATATTGTTTATGGAAAGATAAGTAGAAAGTGTTGCATCATTTTGAATATTTACTTAAATGGGTCTTATTTAAAACAACTTGCCTATGGTTGTAAAGTACATTTTTTTAAAGACAAGGCGGCAAATTGATGTGTTAAAACGTTTTTAACTATACTCTTGTTAATACTAATCTCTCAATATTAATTATTGGATTTGCGACTGCAATCAATAGCCTAGTTATTTTGAATTACATTTTAAAAAAAAAACACTGAAAATTTTAGAAATTTGTGAATCACAGTACCTAAATCTAGGGTGTTAATTTTTAACATTTTCAAAAGTATACCTATTATCTCTTAACCACAGCCTAGCTTATCGCCCCATACCCTCTTGACGTTGACTTTCGAGACATGCTGTATAAATGAAATTGAAGTGTGTGTCTGTAATATTGAAATGACCGGCTTAAGTTAAGCTCAGGAGGTTATTTGCATGCTATTAAGACATAAATAACTATATTTTGTCTGTCTGTCTTTCTGACGGGACTAATCTTCGGAATGACTGAACTGGTTGCGATGAAACTTTACAAATACATAGAGAACAATGCCAGAAGGAGTAGTTTTTTTTTCTTAAAAATTGACATCACTAGATTCTTGTGGTGTAGGTACTATGATAAATCAAAATAACTGGAATATTAAATGATCACTCAACGTGGACTCCATATAAGGTGTAGAAATAACATCTATTTAGTTCAGTAATATCTTATTATATTTATAGAAGAAGATAACCATTCATGTGCCTCTACCTATGTACTTACGTCACAATCACTATATATATATATAAGTCTCCTCCAAACCAATAAAGAGAGAGTTATTAAACTGCATCAGTTGAGTCTTAATTTATTGCATTGTCCAAACAGGCAAAGCCGGGATGGATCGCTAGTAAAACATATAAGAGCACGCAGTCTATGCATTTATCTTTATCTATTCTTATAAATAAAATTGAAGTGTCTCTCAATAATATTAAAAGAATTGGCTTCTATTAAGTTCAGAGGGTTGTTTGTATGCTATTAAGGTAAAAATAATTTTTTTTTAATTTTTTCTGTGTATTTGTCCGAGCAAATCTTCGGAATGACTTAACCGATTTCGATGTAACTTTATGAACAGATATGAAGATAGAGGGCTATTTCTCTCTATCTTCATATTTGGGGTGTTCAAGAATATACTTTACACAAAATACTTCGAGTGTTTTTTTTTTTGAACAAAACAAAACAAAAACTCTGATAAAATAATTTGAAATTAAAAATTTTGTACAACCGACTTCAATATAAATTATTAAGAACAACTAAAAAAACTATTGGTCAGGCTTTGATCAAATTTATTACATGGGACCACATGAGAACTACAGTCTTTCAAATAAAAAAAAAGAGTCATCGAAATCGTGATTTCTTATATTTACGATTAATTACGATTATTATAATTTTCTTATATTGAATAAAACTATTTTATATGGATTTTATCGCGTTTAATTTACTATTTTAATTCCCGACGTTTCGGGTGCTTTACAGCAACCCATGGTCACGGGGTTGACCGAGGTGTTTGACGTCAGAGCGCCCCATAGCGTCGGTGCTTGGAAACCTCAACTAGCGACATTTGGTGTGCGGAAGTTTATTAATCCTCATTACCTTTTCATTTTTCGAACTCGAACGTCAAAATGTTTTTAATCTACTGCCGTTTCAAAATGCGGTTCCTTTAGTAACCAAACGTATGTTTCACTCAGGACCCCTGTGTGCCGAACCCGTGCGCTCGCGGCGGGCGCTGCGTGCGCGAGGAAGGCTCCGCGTCCGACTACACGTGCCGCTGCAGGCCCGGCACCGCGGGCGCACAGTGCGAGCTGCGCACCGGCATCGGTACGTGAGAAATAACGAAGAAAGAACTATTTATTTGATACATACATTTCACACATTTCAAAAAATATACAGACGCAAGGGGCAAAAATATGCATGCAACTGTCTACTGCTTACGCGTTAACAATTAAACAGCAGTACATGCATATGATTTGCATGCTTTGTTTCCCTCTGTCACCTCTTACGACACCCACGGGATGATATTGGGTAGTGGATATTCTTACACCGCCACTACACGGTAAACAAAAAAACGACTGTACATAAAAAACTGCGGTAGCCAATCCGCTTGCCTAGCATGGCAACTATGGCAAATATAAAATAATTAAATCAGTATAATGCTGCGAATGCAGAGCTGGTTTTCAGTTGGAGCCTTGTGGCTTCACATATTAGTTGGTGTGTGATCCTCCAATTACGATTTACTACGAGCTAAAGAGTTAATAATAATTACGAGAGAGTGTAGTGCTAACGTAAATAGATAATACGCACATACACTGAGACTAACCTAGCTAACAGATGTATAAATGTTATATACATAGCTAGGCATTAACTCGTTAATCCGTTAATTAACGAAGTTAACATTTCAAATAGTGAGATAAGGAAACGTTGTGGTCTGAAAGAAGATGTAGTGACAAAAATTGAGAAAGGTATGCTGAGATGGTTTGGCCATGTCGAGAGAATGAATGAAGAACGATTGACGAAAAAAGTGTATAAGGCGAGTGTGAATGAAAGTGTTGGAAGGAGTAGACCTAGGCGGACATTTCTAGACCAAATCAGGGACGTCTTGAAAAAAGGCCAGGTCAAGAGTACCCTAAACCGTAGAGCATGTATGAAGGGAATAATGAAAGTGGACGAAGCAAAACAAGTATGCAAGGATCGTAGCAAATGGAAAGAACTGGTCTCTGCCTACCCCCACGGGAAAGAGGCGTGATTATATGTATGTATGTATTTCGACTAACGAATTAACTTTTAAGTTAACTTTAAAAAATGTTAACGGACTCGTTAACTTCCGTTAAATTTTCTCAAGTCATTAATCCAGTACCTACTATTTATCAAGCACCGCGCCGCGCCACGCCGCCGTCACCGTGAAAAATACGTTCTGAGAAATAAGTTCGGTGCGAGTGAGAAAAAAAACTGCGAAGTAATTTGATTCATATTACTATTATTAGCGCCGGGGTTTTTTGTTAAGTATACAAATACTACGTACTTATTGGATTTTGTTTACTGTCCGTGATAGCTTACGTCTGTGCATTGTGTGTATTAAACAATCTGATTCCGGTTCCACCACGGACGAAAACATTAATGTTCATGAAGGGCAATATCCACATTATGCAAGATAATTAAATTATATACTCCAATTATACACGTCCTTTTTATGTACCTGTTAATTTCCAGAACCCAAACTAACAGTTTTTTTTAAGTAGATCATTAGCGCAACGATATAATAAATGCAATTTTAATCACGTGTTAACGCATTAACGATTAACGTTGCGTTAAATCTTCCGGAATGTAACGACGTTGACTTTTTTAGTAACGGATTACCGATTAACGAACTTAATTATTTGTTTAACGGTGCCCACCTAGGGTTACATAGTATATATTTATATAACACCTACACATATATTTACACATAAAAGTTAATATCATATGTGCCTTTATGGTAAAGACATCTTTTACTTTTTTCATAAAACCTACATACGTACAGACTCGCATGCAAACTGCGAACAGCTGCGTACCGGCATCTCTTGACTCCTTCACATAAAATTATTTACGTTTACATGCTCGTAGGTCAATGGTACCCTTAATTTGAACCATCTTTAGTTTATCGACAATTTAGTCGATAAACTTTCATCTAGGTCTAGGGCGTCCCATGCCGACCCTACCGTTCACATCTACAACATACGAGTTTTGCTTTGTCATTCATTATTTCTACACGACCAAACCACCGAAGCATTCCTTTCTTCGTAGTCGCAACATCATCTTGCAAACCACACTTTTCTCTTATCACACAATTTTTCACAGTCATTCAGATTCAGCCCCAACGTACTCTTTAATGACCGCATTCCTATTACAGTCTGTTCGCTAAGTTAGTGTTGGTACACCCGGTGGTACACACTTATTATTTTGCTTTTAGTTTATTATTTTTTACTGTGTGTGTTAAAAAAATGTGTTTATATTTTATTGTGGTTATTGTAATAAAATACAAACATAAATAACAAAAAGAATTTAGGTAGCAAAGCACAGTGCACAGTGGTAGAGCCACGCGGCAGCTTTTGCTGTCGCACGGATGGGCCGGCTCGAACCGGGGTGGTACCACGACCTCACAGAAAACCAGCGTGAAGTAGAGATTTACCTCTGCGTTTCGCTTGGTGAGTGCAGGTGGCCGGAGGCCCTTTTTACTGGAAATGAGGCATTCCATCTTAGTCCTCACGGGTGACAACGCATCTACATTTTGACTTGTAAGAGAGGATGTATGTAGATGTCTATGGGCCGCAGAAACCACTTACCATCAGGTGGACTGTGTGCTCGTTTGTCACCCTTGTCCTATAAAAAAAAAAAAAAAACCTTTCACTACGGCGCGATGCTTCGTTTTAAAATGCCAATTTCTCCTTAAGGTGTGCGCCACACGCGGCGTCCTTTGATGTCGCTGCGGCGTCTTTGACAAGGTGTGGCACGTGCAAAGGCGGCAACACACAAAGGCTTCACATTTATTCTACTCTCATGCTTTTTTTGCCACAATCAACTTTCACTATATTACAAGTAGGGACTAACACAGCATTGTGAATTGCCATGCGTGCCTTTTTTTAAAACACATTAGAGTGAAGACCCCTATTTACTCCGTGTCCTGCATTCATTAAACTGTATTTATATTAAATTATAACAAGTAATACTATATTTATATTATTATTTATTATTCAAATCAGGTGGTGCACCCGTGATCACTCAGAGCAAGCTGCCGATCCGAAAGCAAATCATCAGCAACGTGCAAGCATCGCCAGGTATGTGGACCAATGTCAGACTTCTTCCGAAAACTGACGGAAGTATACAACGTGTCAGAGTCAACACTTTCCATCGAGTCAGCTGTATTCTCGTTTACCCGTCTTATATCTTATATAAAAAAAAAATATTTTAAGGTGAAAATTTGTATTGAGACGCGTGACATTGTCAATTGAGAGTTGAAACTTGAGATTATTTATGAATACCGCCCTCATTCGGCTTTCGGCATTCGGCAGGAATTGCTGAGAGAACGATAGGTTTATATAAAATAAAGGGGACAAACGAGCACACAGTTCACTCGATGGTAAGTGGATGCTGTGGCACATAGACATCTACACCTATCCTCCATTAAGAAGCAAAATGCAGATGCATTGTCATCCCTGAAGACTAAGTGCCTTGTTTTCCGGTTCTCTACACTCACCACACGAAACAAAATTATGCTGCTATTTCACGCTGGTATTCTGTGAGCACGTGGTCCTTCACCAGTCAAGCCGATCCACCCACACCCCGTGCTTTAACCACAATATAGCTGCAGTATATCCCTACCACCTATAATATAATTCTTAGGCATTTCTGTGCGCTTGCATTGCTTTTTTTTTAATTACTGACGTTACGGCTCTGGGTTCTAGCTCTTCTGAGCCTGAAGTTACAGTGTATAATTATCCTTCATAGTATGTTGCTTCACAATATGTTGATGCGTCACATTGTGCAGCCTTTGAGAGATTTTGACGGCAACTTGAGCCAGCAGACAGCTGACAGTTGGCGATGGTATCTCAAAGCGCCTAAGTAGACAGACACCTTATCTTGAGAATCACATCACCATCAGAACACTTGTTTCACAGTTTCCACTAATAGTTCAGACGCGCAGACACTTAATACACAAAATCGCACCACTTTTACATATCAAAATCCACTTCAAACCATTATTTACACAATAATATAGGAGCAGCAATCCGCCGCCGGTCAACCTCCCGCCTAAACCTCTTTGCACTGCTGTAATCCAGTTTGAAGGACCAAAGAGTTAATATAACAAACTATGAGGCATATATATAGGTGTGTCAATAAGCCAACTTATATAAGCCCACAGCTGACCATGACCTCCTCCATAGATTGCCTCATGGGGCGATATTTGCCATAGTTGCCATGCTTGGCTAGCGGGTTGGCCACCGCAGTTTTTGAAGTTATACTTCTTTTGGGGCGTTTGGGAAAAATTATGAGAGTGAATGTTTAACGATGCGCGCGCACACCGACAGCTAAAAACGACACCATGAAGTTGCATGCGCGCACACTGATACCTCAAAGTGACAATTTCATTGGGTAACTGTCTCTCAAGTTTTCGTGGGAAGTGATATACTATATTTAATGTACTTATTTTTGTTTTGTTACGCTAAAGAAGTATAACTTCCTACGTGCGTACTTAAGTACACACACACACACACGTTTTTTTTTAAATCATTATTAGGAAGATGGTGGTGCCCATCTCTTGTTTCATTTTCCCTCTGTCACCTCTTACGACAACCACGGGATGATATGGGGTAGTGGATATTCTTACACTGCCACTACACGGTATTTAAGATAATTAGACCGCCATTAATGAATCCGTCCACCGCCGCTGATGTATGGATGGTGTCAGAAGACATCTTTCTGGCACTACCCAAAGTCGCCCGTTACGACACGCACGCTGTCATATCATCCATCCATTCATTACAGCCTATAAAAGTCCACTACTGATCATAGGGCTCCCCATAGATTGCCTCATAGGGGAGATATTTGCCGTTGTTGTATTATTACTGCTGATTTAATAATTTCACCTCTCAGTGGGTCATGTGCTCCTGGTAGATTATCTTCTATACATCCATCCATTACAGCCTAGTCCACTGCTGAACATAGGCCTCCCTCCTGGGAATATGCCATAGCTGCTGTGCTTGGCAAGCAAGTTTACAACCGCGGTTTTTTAATAATTTAGAGTTGTTTTCAGGAAGATGATGCTGCCCATCTCTTGTTTCATTTTCCCTCTGTCGCCTCATACGACACCCTCGGTACGATGTGAGGTAGTGGATATTCTTAATTTCTTACACATGTTGTCATATTTAACATCAATGAGATTTTTTTGCCAAATTCAAAACATTTCCCATTCGTGCCACAACCATAATATAGTTACAACATGGCCCTACCACGTATAATAACTACCGAGCACGTGATAAATAAACAATCGTGTATTCTACCTAATTTATTTATATTACTAGCTGTGCCCGCGGCGTAGCTCGCGTATACAGGTTTTACATAAAGAATTTGTCGTTTAGGTAAGAGAATATTAAACGATTTATTTCATTACTGTATCAATAAGTGGTAACTAAATAAATCATTATCATCAAAGTTCTAAGTCGTTTATGATAGAGCTTCGGTGTAAACGACGTGAGAAGTAGGCTTAGCCGGGGTGTACACTAAAAGGTTACGGGGGCTACTAACGCGGGAAAAAGCAACATAGAGTTGGCCATGTGCAAAACAGTCAGTACTGAGGTACACTCCTACAACGCGTAAAGTTTGACCTTGCGCTTTATTTACGGTCATCGCATAACACACACTCATTGTAACTGGGAACTGAACGCGCTTAAAACTGAAAGGAAAGTTACTTCTACTAATAGAGGGTTTTTGGGCAGTGCTGCCAGATAAAAAAAAGCTCATTCAGCTCTAGGACAACACAAAAAGCGCTAGATTTCATGAAAACAGCACTTTAAAAAAGCCCTAGATTTCGCGCTAAATTAACTACAAACAAAATTTGGGTTTTTTTATATAATCATAATAAAGAAAACAACATTAAGTTTTTTTTCTGGCAATATTTTTTGATGTATCAATACTTCGCAGGACATCGACTTATAATTATAGCAATTGCTGTCAACAGTAGTTAGTACTGTACGAACAATAAAAATGTCATTAATTGTTTTAAAGTGCAATGTATTTCGCAACTTAGTTTCAGATGTCAGCATCTGATTGCGGTTGCTACACAGTTTCTTTGTGTTATAACTTCTAAGTAACTTTTAACTTAGCTGTGCTCTAAGCAACTGACTGAAACTGAATAAAGCAAAATAAATGCGTTGCCAAAACCATGAACGAAAACTTTAATAAAGGGGATTTCCCCGCTTATAGTCGTTGGTAAAAAAATCAAGTTGAACATCCTAAAGGGGAAGCCAGGAAATCCATAGCACAGGGTATCCTAGTTTGGACTCGTCTCCCATGCTCTTTGTTTTGTGGAAAAAATATGTTTGAAAAAGATAAACTGCAATGTACTATTTGTGGGAAAAAATAATAAAGTTCATTATTATTATTATCGGTAATGTGGACTAACAGTGCTGCTATAAAATAGTTAATAACCCGCTAGTCGCTAAAATATTGAAATGTGTGCTAAATACACCAAAAAGCGCTGGATTAAGCGCTAGGTGCTAAAATTTCGAAATGCGCGCTATACATTCCAAAAAGTGCTAAATCTAGTTCCCAAAGCGCTAAAATGGCAGTTCTGATTTTGCGTATATTATAAATACAATATCACGACATTTCGTTGCAAAATTTTTATTTTTGGTCGGGTTCCGTTGTATGGCTTCGATGGATACAAATTTCTTCAGTAAGTCTCAATACGATTCATCGGCGAAAAATCTCAACACAGCAATTGAGAAAAGTTTGTAATTTGTACAACTCCATCTATTACGTCCGTTGTGTGAGAAAACATCCTATCTCTTTTTGTGTTTTAAGTATAAATATATTAATTATTATGGAACGTTTTTTTTACACAGAAATCTTTTTATTACTATTTCTGAGATTTTATGGCGCCATTGAACAAATTCGAACCTACATTTCAAAATAATAATCATTACTTTCGATAGAATTAACCAATTTTAATAAAAAAAAGATTAAATGTAACTCGAAGATACGCTTTATGATATTCTTAACGATTTCTTTGAAAATAAAAGATGTTTACTTTAGACGTGATGCGTTCATATAATAACAGACAAATAGACAGACAGACAATTCTAAAAATTATAAAATGTTCTTATTTAATTATTTTCAGTTCATCATAATGATTTTAGCCACCAAAATATATATACATATACAATGTACAGAAAGAGACACAACATGTTATAATCATTTTTATTATATGTATATATTTAAAGAGAGATGGCGCTGCTAACATCATCAATTCTAAAAATAAAAGAGATTAATTGACGCGATTGATACATTTTATAAAACGTAAGAGAACTTAAATCAGTGCCTGCACAGTAAGCAAAAAATAAAGTTTGACTCTCGCCAAAACCAATGCAATTGTTAATAGCTCTTTTAAAATTTGATTTACCACATAGAGTACTCGGCGGTAAAGAATAAATTAAGTTTGTCAACACGCAGTAGGTCAGCGAGTAATATAATAAAGATTAGCAGTAAATATGAAAACTCATCTACAGGAAAAAACCACATTTGCAATTGCGTTACATTTTCACAACACCACCATCTATCGAAGAAATGGGTTAACTATTGTGCTTCAGATTTAGTTAATAACGTTAATATATTTTTGTATAATATATTTAATACGTTCTTTATTACTTTTGTTTACTGCGTTTTAGATATACATAATTATATCATTATTTTACATAATTTAACTATGATTTATGATATGATATTAGTTTAAAATGCACTTGATGACTCAAACAAAGCCACCGTTGAGCAAATTCGTACCTATACTTCCCTACCCATACTTCAGAATATTTATCATAACTTTTGATGGAATGAACTGATTTTAATGAAATAAAGACTAAATGTAACCCGAAGATACACTTTATAATTTCCTTAACAATTCTTATGATATAAATTAGTACTTTATACGTGATACGTTAACAAACAAACAGACAGACAGACAGACAGACAGAAAATTCTAAAAATGGTAGAAATGTATTTAATTACTTACTTTTATTACCCCTCATACACTTTTATTACAAAAATATAAAATGTACAGACATCTGCTACTTACAGTTTTATTATATGTATAGATATTATTTTTTATACATATATATATATATATATATATATAATTTGAATTTTTTAATGAGAATTTGATTTTATATATAAATTCCTAAGTTGAATTTGTAAATGTAACACACACACACACACGTACGCACACACACACACACACACACACACACACACACGCACGCACGCACGCACTAACATACACCCACGCACGCAAACATACACACACGCACACGCACGCACACATAGACAGACACGCACACACACACACGCACTCACACATACACACACGCACATTCTCACGCGCGCACACACACACACACGCACTAACGCACGCACATACACACGCACGCACGCACGCACACATACATACATGCGCACACACACACATGCGCGCACACACACGCACGCACGCACACATACACGCACACGCGATATTTGCGATAGCTGTGTACCTCTTTCATTTTAAAACTTAAATTGTTGTCCTTATTTGTATTTATTTGGCGGTTTCTAGTCTATTGTATAACTTCGTTATGGATGAGCCGTGCTTCCTAGCACAAACAAAATTATTTGCTTAAAAGGAAGCTCCAAGTACTTAAAATTGAATTAGGCTTAGTTACCGTAATAAATTGTTTTGTATTTTGTATTTAACTTTCAGCCGCGCCGGTAAACAAGCAGGTGACTTCTGAACTTGCGCCCGCACAGCCGTCACCTGCTAATGGAGGCTGTAGGAAGGTATGATGGAATATTCACATTTGTAGCGGGAGTAGAAGTAAAAGGGGCGTGGATTCGAATCCGCTGAATCAGTGGCGACGAGGATAGTGCAGGCAATCGAGCGAGGGCGGGAGGTGCTCTTCAAACTAGTAACTTTTTAACATCGTTAATATAATGCCGTAAAGTAACGCCTGATTTTTTTTTTATAGCAAACGAGCATGCGGTTCACCTGATAGTAAGTGACTACCGCCGCCCATGAACAACTGCAACACCAGGGGAATTGCAGATGCGTTGCCGGCCTTATAAAAAAATGTACGCTCTTTTCTTGAAGGTCCCTAAGTCGTATCGGTCCGGAAAAATCTCTGGTGGTAAACTATTCCACAAGGAAGTTGTGCGAGGAAGAAAACATCTTCTAAATCGCACAGTGGTGGACCGCCAATCGTCCAGATGGTGTGGATGGTATCGGGAGTTCTGCCGCGATGTGCGTTTGTGAAATTTGGCGGCTGGGATTAATTATTCTATTAATTATATTAGGTAGGTGTCGATGATTCAAAACCCATCAGATGTGACAATCGACCTTATCGCCTGTCCATGACACTACCGGCTAACCCAAAAACCGGCTCGGCAGAAACCAATGAAAAGTACCACAATCCACAACGGTTACTGCTACTGCCGATCTAATTCATATAAATAAAATTAAATTGTCTGTTTGTAATGTTAAAATAACAGCTTTTTACTAAACGAATATGAAAGTATATACGGTACTTATAACAAAAAAAAACAATTTTTAAATTTTTTGTCTGTCTGTCTGTTTGTTCCGGTTAATCTCCAAAACGGCTGGACCGATTTTGACGGGACTTTCACTGACAGATAGTTAATGATATAAGGAGTAACTTAGGCTATTTTTATTTTAGAACTTTAGGGTTACTACAAAAAAAATTGAAACCCATACAACCCAATCGTAATAAATACATACATCTATCTATATCTATCCTCGTTTGCGAATCAAAATGCAGATGCGTTGTCAGCCGTGCGGACTAAGATGGAATGCCTCGTTTCCAGTAAAAAGGATCTCCGGTTCTCTACACTCACCATACGAAACACAGCAGCGTTAAACTACTATTTTACGCTGGTATTCTATGAGAGCGTGGTCCTTCGAGCAGACCCATTCGTGCTACAACTACACTACTAATATAACTGCGGAGTAATTATACTCTCTCTCTCTCTCTAACCTTCAGTGTGGAACACAACAGTGCAAGTGTTGTTATTTGGCGGCAGAAATCAAAGACTTAGACTTGTTAAGGCGCGTCTCCACCAAAAATGTTGACAACATTTATGTTTCCGACTGTTGACAAATCAACAAAAGTTGACGTTTGACACTTGTTTCAAAATGTTGCAAAAAGCGAGGGAACAAATGACGGCAACAAGCGTATTCCTTTGATGTTGCCGCCGAAAATGGAAACACGATTCCCGACATTGTGTCGTGGTGATTACAGAAACATTTGTCGGCAACACGTGTTGACAAATGTTGAAAACTTTGGTGGAAACGTGCCATTATACTACAAAACTGGCACAATGGTACTAATACATTGCGCACTAAGTTATGGTCAATTCTCCATAACTTCTTCAGTCGACTGCGAGCGGCCGAGAAGACTTGTTCTTTATTTTGTGAACTGCGGACGTTGTTTTCGACAATCTAACACTGATTTTGTTTGATGTTACTAAGGAAATGCGGTCATTATTTATGTGCGCACTTCGTCAACGCGATTTGAAGTTTATTTCATATAAATATGTAATTTTATTTCTTATTTGTCTAAAAATATTAACTGTCGTGAATGCAACAATTATTGCGTGGCATATTTACCGTGCCAGCTATCCGCCCGCTACCGGTCCATAACGGTGACACAGTTTTTGTTCTGAATTGCCGATGTAGTACATAGAAATCTTCCGTAAACATAGGTAAGAGGGTTGTACCTACTGAGACGAACTCCACGGCAGAAAGGGTGTGTCACCACTACCACCACCTAATAAATAAAAAGGGTAGGTTACATAGAGTAGTGGAGTTAACGTCTATCGAAGTACTCACCATGTTTGACCATGGGCTGCTGTGTTACAGCAGTATATTACAATCAGAATTCACTATAAAGTCTTACAAATTATAAAAATTGTTTATATTTGCAGGAGGCGACCCGGGAAATAATTGCTGAGGGTGGCTGCAGAAGTCGGCGACCTGTTCGTGGGGCCAGGTGTGCCGCTAGACCTGACGGCAGGGTCTGTGGCAAGGGACTCTGCTGTTCACCTAAACGCACCAAGAAGAGGAAGGTAATAACGGACTTCTGCTGCTCCGTGGCGCAGTGGCCTAGAAATTAATTACAGCGCTGAGGGCCGCTGGTTCGAATCCTACGAAACAAGTATTTGTATATTTACAAATAAATTGTTTCGGATCTGGATCATCAGGCTAGATCTGGACAAGGACCAGCTTATGAAATTAATGCATGTAAACTGCCTTCCACGATATCGGAGAAAATCTTATGTGGGGGTGGGGGGGTAACGTTTTAAAAACAAAATAAAAATAAAAAACTTCATAATATACTGGTTACAGTTACTATCTCATAAGGAGAATATATGCAATAATTGCCCCACATGACAGGCCGGTTGGCAAGCGCAGTTTTTAGGGTTCCGTATCCAAAGGGTAACCAACGGGACCCTAGTACTTAGCCATCGCTGTCCGTCCGTCCGTAATAGATAGTTAAAATTTTCACAGAATGTGTATTTCTGTCGCCGCTATAACAACAAATAATAAAAATTAAAATAAATTAATAATTAAAAGGGGCTCCCCTACCAGAAACGTGTATTACAATGGTGCGGAACCCATTATACGCGAGTGCGACTCGCACTTGGCCCGTATTTATTTTCTAGTTTGTATTAGGATGGCGCTTATACCCATCTCCTGACTTGTTTCTCTCAGAACCAACTCTTTCTGGCATTCATATTATATCCTAAAAACTTAATTTAGTACATCTACAGGTTTCATCTCACCGGATATCTCTTAACTTTGACACCGGTCTTAGTAACTATTTTCGATATTACCTACTGACATTGTAATTGGATAGCGTGTTTGCCGGTTTGTTCTTCATTCATGAAGCAACGGGGTAACGAACCCACATGATTTTGTGGACGGAGATAGCTCAAGAGTGGCATAGGCTCATTTTATTCATCAACATCGTCATCATCATTACAGCCCAAAAAGTCCATTGCCGACATTAGCCTACATATAAGGGGAATATTTGCCATGGTTACCCTTGGCAGGCGCGTTCGCAAACGCAGCTTTCTCATTATTTTCAGTTGCTATCAGGATGATGCTGCTGTCCATCTTCTATCTCATGTTTGAGTTTTCATCTCCTCTTGCGAGACCCACGGGACGATACGGGGTAGTGGATATTCTTACACCGCCACTACACGGCAACTACCTTCCGGCTTCCTTTTATAAATTTTAATCTAAATTACAATTTATTTAATCAAAATTACGATTCAATTAATCACATTAAAATTTATTTATTCAAAATAACAATTAATTTAATCAAATTTACTATTAATTTCAGATCCGCCTAGTTTGCGATGACGGCACACGATACACCAAAGAAATAGAAATAGTTCGCAAATGCGCCTGCGGGAAGAAGTGCGCAAGAACTACACTCTTCCAACACTAATTAACCCCAAGCTATTGTGCATGGATCTATGGTCATTTCATACGTTCGTATTCCCTATGCTATACTTTCTTGATATTGCATAATACAAAAATATAATTTAATAAGAATCTCCGCATTCAGCAACTCCTGCATTTTTAAAACTAAGTACACATTATTTGTAATTTTCTCAAACATTCGGCCTATATTTTTGGTTACTTAAGTATTAACCTATACCTATCTCTTTCTATCGTTATGTAAAGAGAGAGAGAGTAGCGCTAAGAAAGCTTTCGTGGCGGAAAACATCAACATATTACTAAATACGAACACCGAATGAAGCATTAAATTTCACAGAACATTCTAAAGTTTTGTAAAGGTTTGAGAGAGCAATTGAAGATAATTCTAAAGAACATAATCCTATAAAAAGAGTTATAATGAAAACATCTCAAAAAAATTTAATTGTAACTACAGATTTCCTCTTCTATAATAATTTTTTTATTGGAAAAAAAAAATATAAATTCTCAAAAAAAGTCAATTTTTATTTTTAATTGAGTAAGGCCGTCAATATTAAATTTTTATCTGTAGTTCGGATCCGAGAGCAGTTCTTAAATCCACGAAACACCAACATACCAATGCATCTGTCTATTATTTACCACAAAAAATGTAATCATTGTCATTTTTTTAAGACATATAACCGGTTTTCACAACAAAAAGTAATGCCAATTTTCTTTACATCGTGTAACTTATAAAACTTAACAATTTCATCATTGTAAAATTGTGATGAGGTTATACGTCAAAATTTACACGACATAATTCTACATATAATCTATACTCAGTAGTATAAAAAAATGTAGTTTCATAAATTAAAAACTATTATAAACCTAAGTATTTATTCGAAATATGACTAAAGGACAAGTAGATACGGCCTAAATTAATATAAACTGTAGTGAAATCATTTTAATAATATCGATATAAAAATTGAACCGAATTATATAATGTCTTTGCCATACTTAAAAAAAAACGGTTGCTAAATAAACCTATATGTTTTGAAATAATGAGATTACTAGTCGTAAATATTTACAAATATAATTAATAAAATAAAACATCGCAAGTAAATAGAATCGGTTAGAAATATAAAATAGAATAAAAGTTACGAAAATTTATAGATAAAAAAAAACTATTTACTATAACAGTAATGTCAGTATTGTATATGGAATGGGGGAGAACGTTATTCTTACCTTTGCCCTCCATATTCTCGTCACAAGAACCTGACTCGACGATCCTTAAGGCAAAATATAGTTCTATGTAACTCATATAAAATAGTCAAACAAATTATACATATAAAACTGACAAATAAGTCTTTCTCACTCTTACTCACGCTATATTGAGACTTTATTAAAATATAGTAGTTTAACCTACTATATACATTTTTTAGAATAGCGTTCAGTCACTTAATATTAAGTAGAACTGGCAACACTAGACGAGATTAACGTGACATATATGGCCTAAAGGTCTAGATACCAGGCCATAAACTCCAAAAAAACCACGTGACATATATTCTGACGCTGCAATAATATCTTTAACACCAGTTAAGTAGAAATTACCGCAACGTTTTTTAAACTACCGTCTTTGTACCTACATAATGTTTTAATGTTGAATTTATTTACTACGTAAAAGGTTTAAAAGCACATTTTAAGTTTGACATATAGTTGTAATAATCTGTAATAATAAACCCTAACTATAATTATTAATAGACGATGTTCGTTAGAAAGAATTTGAGCACATATTTCTTTTAATAATTAAAACGTCTTGTCGAATTTAAAATATAAGAGTTGCCTGCATACTCGTAAAATCAGCTAAAATAATTTAAGTAACAAATTCTAGTACGGTATTTAATCGAAGTCTCCAGGACTAACACAAAATTTAGTTAATAATGCAACTGCCTGTAGGCCCCGCATCATATAAGTGCCTCGCGGTCTGAGAAAAAACCTTTTACGTTATATAGAAAGATCGAAAACGGTAAGGAAGTCTTAAGTCGCTTTCTAAAACCAAGAGCCATCTCATAAATTGTCATTGATTAAACTCGAAAACTTATAACGGGATTTATGGTAATGAAAACGAATTTGACGGTTCAGTATTCTTTGTGGTAAAGATCATCGATGAGACTGTATTTTAGACAGACTAAAAATATTTTGTAATTTGTAGTATTATCAAATAATAAATCTCAATTTTGATAGTATATATCAAGTATTTTGTTTTCTGGTAATATTAACGTTATCAATACTTACTAATGTTATTTTTTATTTGAAAAGGTTAGTTACGAATTGTTAGCTAATAACGCGCTTAAAATAAATGCTCTGCTAAATTATTAGGTGGAATAATTTAAAGATGTACTCAAAAACATGGGGTGCTTAGGGGTAGCCTCAACACCTGACGACTTAATCGCATTGGACTAGAATGAAATGCATTGTCTCTCATCTCACTTGACGACCAGTCCCAGTTGTTGGGCGTACGGTGTAACACATTCGCCGTTTGTTGCCATCTGACATGGATTTTTTTTTAATGTTTATTTGTGCGATCACTCGTCACATACACATAATATATAAAGAAATATTTAAACCTACCAATTATTTTATTATTTCCATGCCGAGAGGATATATAATAAAATTATTAAATGTGTTCATGTAATTTAAAAATATTTATTGTGTCTAGTTGTTTTTAAAGTATTGTACTGTATTGCTTATTTATGTTAAGGCTATGTTAAAATAAAATACTTAAGTTTTCTTTAAGGTGATTTATTTCTCAAAATTATTAATCATAGAGCGATTATTCAGTATATTTATTTAATCAGATAATGTCTTGCCGTCTAGAAAATCATTTTAAAATTTATATAAGTTATGTTTATGTGCATTAATGTTATGGAGTGTCGTATTTATCTTTGAATTTGATCCGACTGAGTCATTTGTGTATAAAATCATGAAATTAATATTTATTGCCATTTTGTTGCTAGATTCAGGCGTTAGGCTTATCATTTGTAAATTAGTAGGTGTAAGACGAATGTATAGGACTAAAATGTAGTATTATATAGATATTTTACACGTTTTGTATGCATTCCGATTATATTTATTTTCTACCGCTTTGGTAGTTTTTCATGCTATAGTATCATTGTGAACAACGCATTTATCGACCTAATTAAATTTATATTGACAGTATTAAAGTTTTATTAAAAATTACTACAAGGAAAATCTGTCAAAAACTACATGGGAAAATGGGAAAATTATTTGTCTATCCTATGAGTGACCATGGTGAAAAAAATTGCCAATAATGAGGGCTTCCACAATTTTATCAGCAATATTAGTTTTGTTTTAAATGAAACATGGATAAACCAAACTACACATATTCCTTAAACTAAAAGAGAGAGCATTATTATGGTGTTTAAATGTACATAACCCTGTATGTATCGACAAGACTCAATATATGTATATAGGGTTATGTACCTTTAAACACACATATATCCTCTAAAATATCTATGGTACACACTTATGAGTATGTTACTTTATCTAAATTGAAAACAGAAAAACTTTTAAGCTGATAACAAATAACTCCATCTTAGTTCCAACTAGCGACATCTAGTGAGCGAAAAATTATTAGTCCTCATTATAATACCATCCTGTTACTTGTGTAAACTTTCTGATCAATAAGGATTTTTCGACAGGTTTTTCTTGTAGTTTAAAATAATAAGTGAATGTTATATAAGATAAGCTTTAAGTTACGTAGGTTATTAGATCGATGTGTTTGCGTACAATATAATGCTGTCGGAGGCATTGCATGCGCTTTTTTATTAATAATAATAATGAATAAATAAAAGTAACAATTATTGTCTATGAACTTTATAATTTATTTGATGTACCTAATAAAAGATGATGTTAGATAAATTGAGTTTACTTTACTATCATGGACAGTTATGTAGCAACAAAACCCTAGAAATAATATTGTAAGAAATTATTCCACTTGTGATGTTAGAAATTATTCTCAAAATTATTTAAATAAAAGAACACTACTCGGTAACAAATCATGCTTATTGTCAGGAAACCAATTACATGATAACACCAAAGTATGCAAACCAACAGTATCACTACCCATCTCAATGTAACACACGGCAGCCTCTCAGCAACACGACCTTCCTTGCCTACTAGTAGAATATCCCAACGGGTATAGTAACGACAGTGAGACTCGTAGAATTACAGACCGAAGTCTACCCAGTCGCCTGCGCGATGCTTTATACTGCTAGAACAAGTGGGAGATTACTGTTACGTCTTCATTTGTTCGTATTTCTTTTTATTTTCTTTACCCTCACTCCCAACAATATTGTTACGAGCTTGGAGTTCAAGACAATTAAAAACTGCCGAGTGAATTATCAAAATTGACACTTTAATTACTGAGCACTAATTAAAACTTACTAAACTACGGACACGACCTTCAATTTTGAAGAACACGGCCAAGAAGAATTAAAACTTAAACCACACTAATAATAAAACACAATTGTACTACTGATCACTTTAGTTTAGAAGTATTCGCTTATATCGCCAATTCAATACTGACTCGGTCTTTTTTTTCTGAATGTGTATACTGTTGGCCCTGCGGCCTTGACAGCTTCATCTGATTAGGTTCGTAAGTGAGTACTTACGAACTATTGAGTGCAACGATTCTGCCGACTGCAGTCCCGAGGCACCCCGACCCCTGCTTTCGGAGTGAGGCTCCTCGAGCTAGGGGGGGGGAGGGGGGCTCGATGCGATTCAAGGGCCCCTCTGAAGGAGGTACGAACCTCGGCTTGAATCGCTATCGCAATTTTGTTAACGAGTCGCAAAGGTTAAACTGACTCGGTCGCGGTCTATACCGGCCTTATATAGGGCTTCAGATAGTTTCCAGAACCTTCTACTGTAGAAACATCTAGAATGTTCAAGTACATATCCGTCCCGATTGACTAGGTGTCGATAGTTCCAGAAAGTCCTTCCATAGAAATT